TTATTTTTAAAACAAAATATCTGATTATCATGTTGAATTGATTTGAAAAAAACTAGGAGTGGGTAGTTGTTTTGAAGCTGAGCCATGTCTCTATCACGTCCATATAACTCGTTGATTTGGACTCAAGGTAGGGTGTGCTTTCTGTCGTTTGGGGCCTCTGCCTCTGCCTCTGAGCTTATGATAGAATCTGGATGTGTTTCTTTTTGTTTTAAAAAACGACTGAAAAGCAAGGACTAGCCGTTGGGAACATTCCCACTGCTTTTAATTTTTGTCTCAAGTAGGAGAGTAAGACCCAAATGCCACACACAACACAAGTATGGGGCAAAATTGCAAAAGGACACTCACCCAACTTTCTACGTGGCCAAACAGTGGGCAAGGCATGAGATTCAAAGTAAAGCCATGGCCAATCAAGAATTTAAAATTTTAAGGAAAAGAAAAATAAGGCAATGCTTTTCCTTGTACACGGCTCTTTTATATCCCTTCCACTTTAATTTCCTATCCAACCACCAACCACCATCTTCCAGCTAACGTGGTGGAGAATGTGACTAGTGAAATTGAAGGAGAATATTAGGAAAGAAAGCCTCCAATCCATGTCGTTACAACTTTATTTGCTTATCGATATTCCATATTTATGTATCATCCTTTCGCATAAACTTTTCTTCAAATTAGAATTTTAATTTCTCTAATAATACCATCAACCCAGTTAATGCAGTTTCTCTTCTCATATTCCCGGATTCAATATGACAAGTTCATTTCCCAGGATTGAATTAGAGGGTGGATTTTGAATGCATATGCTGACGAAAAGTGGATAGAATTATCTTATCTAGACTTAATGATAAGCTCGAGTTTTGCATGAGAGAGAGAGAGAGAGAGAGGGTGATGGGTTTGAGACACTGACGATCTTGATTGAGTTGGGGGACCATAAACTACTCAAATCCCAATACTTGAATAATCTCATTATTGCATTTATGCTAAATGAAGAAAAACATGAACAAATTTATGTATACATATGAAGTCATTTACTGAGAATGAACTAGAGTAGAGCCTCCCTCAGACCATCGCCATTTACTTCATATCCTTACACTCTCTCAGTATACTCACAAATCCATCCAGGTTAGTCATTAATGCCTGATCAGTTCCCTTGTCCTTTTTCTTCTGAGTACGTCTATTTTTTTATTTTATTCTTCTAATGTTTCTCCAATCATATGTTTAAAAATTTTAAAAATAATTTTTTTTATTAAAAAATACAATATTTAATATCAGTAATATATTATATTTTGTGATGCTTTATTTTTTATATATAATTTTTTACTTATGTACACACAAATAAATGAATATAATTTTATAAATATTTTTAATGTTAGTTTTCCACTAAAATTAAAACTTTATCTTAATAATTTATGTAACAAATATCACTTTATCAATATAAAATTTTAATATTACAACAAGACTGAAAAACATTTATAATTCTTCACCTAAATTTGGTTCGTTAAAAAAGTCATTTCTTATTTAATACAATCACGTAATGACGGGGGACTCTACTGCATGCTTCCCAGTGCTAATTGGTGTTTATATAATAAACACGAATTAAATTCTTAATTTGAATTAATCGAACAAAGTAACAAAACGCCACCCTGGTTACGAGTCACTCGTTAAATTGATTATGTCATCAACTAACAAAGATTGAGTTAGTTATGTGACATTTAATATTAAAAAGGTGGATTTGAAGAAACAAGAGCATAAAATGATAGGGATTAGGGAGAAGTGGGAACGGGATCCAAGAACGCATGCGAAATGTGGCATGATCTACGAGCGAAAAAGCTTGTCTCTCTGTATTAATCTTTTTCATTCAAGTGTGCATGTTGGAGGGTCCCACCAGCTTGTAATATCTCTTTTCAATTTCAATATGTGCATTTCTTTTTCTTAACTAAAGATGGTGATTCAGTCACAGATATTCCTTCAATTTATTTATTTTTCAACACCACCCAACACTGAGTAACCTCACTGTCTTCATGTCCATAATATATATAACACTGTAGTACGTATTTACTTATTGTTCTTCGACTTTGCCAACACAATTACTTGATTGCATGCGGATCCAAGAACCCATTTTATTTTGAGCCCTCTTAACTTAACCGGCCCTTTTTAGATATTCATCATCATTATTCATTATCATGTTTCTTTTAAGAAACTATTGCAAATCACCACAATTGTAACTTCTTACTAAATTTAATTATTTGGAAACCAAGCATATTTTCTTGAACCATATTAATTAAATGAACCTTCAGGGATGAATTTTTTATCATCTATTTCTCATATGGGCATATACTGATTGCTCAAGTAACGTTTTCCTTCTGGCAAAAAAAACGCTTAAGACTCATCATCTTAGGCCAAATGAGTATGATAGACGTCATGTTATAATGCAGTTCAATTTTATTACTCAACTAACAAAAAAAGAAATCTGCATCAAGTGCTTAGCACTTAAGAGTGTGTAATTAAATTGAGTGAAGCATAATGACCAAAACCATAACAGGACCTAAGATTTTTGGCATGAAGCAATAATTAGCAACCGCGAGATCCGGCGGGCCATAACTATGAATTAGGCACTGCTGACTTTTTTAATGTATTGGCGATGGTGGTGATATATGAATGTTGATGTATGCAGAAAAAGGAGGGGTTCTACGTCTGCTGCTGTAGTACTTGCAATAAATTAAACAAATACAAAATCCAATTCCCTATGAACGATAACCCATCTCTACAATTAAGCAAACCCCGCAATTGAATGGGAAGAAAGGTTGTCTGAGTATGGCCACAAGGCACAAGGGCTTGTCATTGTAGCTAGGCAGAAGCAGAAATGAACATGACAGTAGTAGTGTTACCATAATGGGAATCTCATGCAATCATTTACTTAAAGGGTCTGAAAATTTTATGAGGTGGATGTAGCGTGTAAGAAAACCCCCCCAGACAAATGAGTGTGACAACAAAGTACATCTGTTTAAATTTCAGGCACTTTTGCATGCATATATATGTTTGTGGATGCATGCCTGTAATGTGGCTTTTTTCCATTGCTCTCTCTCTCTCTCTCATAAGTCATAAGCGAGCAAAGATCTCATAGTATTACACAACAGCTACATGACTTTGCACTTTGCAGTTGCATTAACATCAAAAAGTTGCCTCTAACGTATCCTGCCAACCTGCTCCTCACAGCAGAGTTTGGTAGCCAAAGCTATCAGAGCCGCAGACTTTTGACAAGTGAAATGGTAAAACACAAATTATTGCAATAGCAAGCTCCGTTGATTTTTCATTTCATGCATCTTATTTTATAAAAAGTTCAGTTTGATTTCGTTTCATGTCTGTTTAGATTGATTAAAATTAATCGAATTATTTTATTTAAATAATTCGGTTGATAAATTCAATTAACTTCTATTTTTACCTTATCAATGTTAAAAACTAATACTTTCGTGATATTTTATTTTAATTTTTTATGTTTCATTTAATAACATGTTTCAATTTCATTTACATTAATGATATTAACATAACACGACAAATGAGATGAATTTGAGCCTAGTTTAATTTGTGGTTTTTTAGAACTTCTATTACTTTAGCCGATGGAATAATAAATTTAATGAAATAATTAAAAAATAACAAGACTCGAATTAAATGAAAAGGCCTTTTCAGCGTGAGCTATGTATTAACTATTAACTTTTACTATTAAATTATCAATATAAAAAGAAAAAAACACTTGTGTGACCTTTTAAGTTCTCTAACTTTTTAAAATGGTGATATACCTTTAAGTAATTTTTAATATTAATAATATGTATATGATTATATGGTCAAATTAAATAATATTTTTTATGTGACACTAAAAAGAATAAATATTAATTACTAAATTTTGTAATAAATAATTAAAAATACACAAAAGTAATAGCATGCATAATATAAATATGTTCTATGCCAATTTCTTATATATGTTTTGAATGATAAAATGCATGTAGCTATATATTCATAAGATTATATTTGTGTTTTGTGGAATATGGTGGATGTTTAGGTCAAAAATCGATTTATAGTGAAGCTTTAGAAAGGAAAAAGCATGATTACGAACATGGAAAACTTTGTAAGAAGTAAATGAAGAAACTCTAAGAATTAGGCGTGCCCACTAGAGATGATAATATATATGGTTTGAGCAGGATTCTGTATTATTCTGTCTTATTATACTCATTTTTATACTAGTGAATAACAATATTGATCCTCATTTTTTATCTTTAAAATATTTAAATCACCATACGCTTTTTCACTAAATGAGAAATTAATGATTTTTTTTTCATTTTTTTATACGTGTTCATGCAAGATATTAAAAAAAAGAATGTTTTTATACATAAAAAAATATAAAAAATTAAATTTTACTATAAATGGATAAATAAAATATAAAAATCATCTGATAATTTTTAAAAATTTATGTAACCTTTAAAAGTAATCGTATGATTTAAATTTTTTTTAAAAAATTTACTATTTATATATTGTTGCGCACACAATTCAAATTTACATGGTATACTTTTTTGTGTAATTTACATGGATAAAATTATACATACACATACATATGAGGAATGTATCTAGTTAGAATACTTTTTAACATGAAAGGAATAAATAATAAAATGATTTGTACAATCATAACAAAACATTAAATGTCTTATAAAGTGAAGAGTAGCGTGTTATAGTATATTAAAATTAAAATCATATTAATATTATAAATTACAATACTATTTATCTAAAATTAAAAGTAAAATATTAAAAATAAGCTTTGACTGGGCTAATTGGTTCCAAGTCCAACAAAGGAGAGGAAGATGAGACTGAATAGTGAGTCTAAAACAGTGGGAAAGAATGTCCAGCGGCCCATTATGGTGAGTGAAGTTCTTTTTTAGAAAAAAAAAAAAAAAGAAGAGGAAGGTGACGAGTCGTGCACGGGTTGGGAGGGGGCATTATTGATTCAACGTTTGGAAGAAGCTTCCTCATTGGAAGATGCATTTAATGTTTGACCCAACCAAACCAAAGTCGATCTCTTCTTCCATCCAAATTTGGCGAGCAATCGGCAATGGGACTCGTCTTGTTCGCGTTCGCAGGCGTTGGCTTCATTCTCATCGGCACACACGAAGCCATTAATCAGTCAAAGAAAAGGCCTTCCGCACTCTTCTTCATCTCTCTCGTAACATTCTCTTCCTTCTTCATCATTAACTCCGCCGTGTCACTCCTCGACGCTCACAACTCAAACGACGCCGTCGGCACGGCCCTTCAGCTGCAGGTTCTATCCATAGCTTTGATTTTCCTCTTCTACTCCGTTCTGCCTCTCCTTCAGACGCTTCCCTCCGCGTTGGTGGGTCTGGTTGCCGCTTTCGCTTTGGCGGAAGAGTTTCTGTTGTTCTATCTTCAGAGAAAAGATTCGAACGGGGTGGAGAACCGTTACTACGACCTCCTGCTCGTCCCCATCGCCATTTGCATCTTCTGCACCCTCCTCCAATTGAAATCTCCCCACTCTAATATTCCCAAGTTGGGCCGTGGGCTGGGCCTCATTCTCCAAGGAACATGGTTTATCCAAATAGGCTTCTCTTTATTCTCGGGCTGGGTGGCTCAGGGATGCTCTTTGCACCGAGCCAGTAGGGGGAACTACACGCTGAGGTGCAAGGGACACCCCGAGTATCACAGGGCTAAGGCTATTGCCACGCTCCAGTTCAATTGCCACCTCGCTCTCTTCGTCCTCCTCCTCGTTGCTTTCTTCTCCTTCTTTTCTCCCACCAACGGAGTCCCTCTCGATCATACCACCAGGTATGCGCCACTCGGAGCTGAATTGCAATCTTTTCAGGATTCAGCCAACTTCACTCTCGATTCTGATGATGGTGATGACGAAGAGCAGATTCATCATGCCAGTGACGCCACCCAGAAGGCAATTGTTGTCCAACATGCTGCCAATGCCAATGGTAATGTTAATGCCTCTCACCACTGAGTCATGTGCTCTCGTTTCATTCAATGCTAGTGCTATTACTCCATGCTGTCATTGCCTTCTCCTGTTTTGTTATGTTAGGAGAACACAAATTTTCACTTTGTATAAAGGGAAATATTGGTCTGGTCCTATTCATTTCTTAGTTTGGTTTTGATTCCTTGTTACCTAAAATTATAATATGCCCTTAAACTGCTTCAAATGGAAAGGAATTATGTGATTCGCTTTAGTTGTAATTCAAAGTTCTTTTTAGATTATTGTGCAATGGTTAGCTACAATATATATAGCCTGTGTGTCTCAGTTGGTTCATATTTCACTTCGAAAATTTCGATTTTGACGCTTCGTTCGCTGCCATCGTTAAACTTATATAAAAATCAACTATACTATTTATTTATTCGTTGTGGAGGGAGAATAAAATTCTAGTTGGGAGACCTACCATATTCTGGGTGCCAACTTGCAAGTTAGTCATCGTAATTGCTCTGCTGATTATTGTTTTCTAGTGTTGGGAACGCTTGGACTGTTTAATTTATTTGTAAAGCTGTTTATCTGCATTAAAATGAATTTTCTGCCCTGTACGCAAGCAAAAATGTAGATGATCTAGATTGTCAATAAAAAGTTTAGGTTCTTGAGTAGGATTTTGGTGATGATGCAATTTTAACCTAACAAAAGGGATAATAAATACATTTTCTGCATTTGGCTGAAATGCATGGCTGGATATCAACAATAGAGGCAAAATGGGTAAACATTGCCGTAGGACATGACTGTGAATTGAAGCATCCAAACACTTGTGAAATTATGACGGAAAAAAAAAATGTTTTTGAATATGAATGGTAGATGGTCGTAATTCGAGTATCCCCTGTAGTAATTAATCAGTATATTTTAGTTAGTTTGTGTAAATATATTATTTTCTACAAGGTGAACTTTGTGGTGCATAAGCTTTTGAAACCTTGGTGAGTTTGCTGAAAAAGCAGAGAATCAAACAGATATTATGGAGCAGTTTGTGCTTCCCAGTTTTAGTCTCGGAGTCCCATGGTCTGTTAAAGGTATCCGTTTTCTGGGATAATCTTTCATCCCCGTAAAGAAAATTTTCTGTAAAACAAGAGTCATGTACATTCAATTCTCCTAGTTATGTAACTTGATCTAAGCTCATGATTATTGGTTTTCAATTATCAACTTGGCTACATGATCTATAACTTAGCAGGATCCATAAAAGCATGCCCGGCAAACTGTACTGTAGTGTCCAAATTCATAATTATTGACGACTCTTTCTTATGATGCTAAATCTCCGGGGGAGTCTTCATTCTAATTATTTTATGGTGTTATAAAATGCATACCTAAATGTTTCATTGACCTTGATTTCCTAGCTATGCTTCTCCGTTGTTTATGCCTCTATTTTGCATTGAATATGTAGGATGAGCTTTAGGTATCTGCAGAACTGATTTGGAGAGTGTTTCCAAATTTATTTGTACATAGTTCAGTTCAAATAATGCAACTTTCTGGGGTATCTACGTTATTCAACGCCTAATTAAAAAAGGGTGTGTTTGGTTTGGAGGGTGGGTAGATGTTATGTGGTTATTTAGCATAACTCACATTGCGATAGCGTTAAGTCTCGATCTTTCTTTTGTCACTGTTACAAGCTATTCATGAGGTGCTGGTGTTGATTTTGGGTAACTTTTCCTTGCTCAATTAGACCTGCTGTAGTGTACAAAGAGTAATCAGTGTGGCTGTTTACACTTGATTGCAAACATTTTTCTGGTTTGTTGTGTTGTTAGTTTGTTACGTGTTCAAGTTTAGCTACTAGACCTAATTTTGGAGTGGATCAAATTGATGAAGGGTGTCCATGCTATAAATCCGGGTTAATATCGTCAGCCATGTACGTGAATGGTAAATATAAAATATTAGTCTATGATATGGATATGAATTAGCTTTTGTTGACTGGTAGTAATTGACTCATGACCAATAGGAAGCTATTTCTCTTATTCCACGTATCAGTTTAAATTCAATCAGTTTCTTAATTAGCACAAGAGAGGACAATCACGTGTTTTAGAAAGTGTTATTTCTTGCCTCGTGTTATAATGCTTTTATATTTATATTGCTGTGAGTAATTACTCTCAAACAATGATAGAAGCCCCTCTTTTATATTGTTCAAGGCTTGTAAGTTTGATGTTCCAGTAATCATTAATTTGTCGTATATATATCATCATAAAGGATTTTATTAATTCTAATCCTAATACCATCCATGGCCAAAATTTCACGAGAAGAGGTCACCAACCGGAGAACATGGCATGTTAAAACTCTACCTTTTACAGTAATGACTAGTGTTGTGTGACTTATGAAGTGATCGATTAATGTACCAAACATGACAGACTATGAACCCATTTTCATAGAGAAAAGGAACATATTGTATTGCATAAACAAATAACCCAGCTAATTGATAATTTTGTTGATAACGAGTATACAATTCAACTTAAATGTTCTAACATGATTTTGTTTCAAAATTGAAGGCTTAGTGATATGTCGAGAATCTTACAAAGATACTTCTATTATTATGCAGATCCAACGAGTGTATATAAATTAGACCATATTTAAAATTTCAGGATGACAACTCTTTTTTGTATTAACACCTTTAAAAAAAGATTACAAAAGATGCCATTCATTAATTGAGTTCCTAAGTATGATGGAATATTCTTTGACGAAAATCTAGTGAGAAAGAAAGATCCGATTGTTTCCATTTCTTTTATATTTAAACCAATTTATCTTTACCTCTTCCTTTTTATTTTTTCGTTCATGACTTCCTTTTTTAACATGTGAAGATGGTTTTTTTAATTGGGGTTGGTCCAATGGGCTGGGCTACAAGGTCTTGACTAATATTTAATTATACTTATGGATCAGTTGTTTTAAGGTTAAAATAATTTTTTGTACTTTTTAATAAAAACGCATGTTTTAATATGTAGTTTAAATCAATTTATATACACGTCTTAACATATTTAACATTTTGAAATTAATTCTGCCTATTCTTATATCAAATAAATGCTTACTAGTTTCATAATTTAAGCAACACTTTGCAAAGTCTCGACACTAAACTTGTGTTTGATCTAATTAATTTTTTCAAATTATTATTAAACATTACATTTTTTTAATTGTAAAGAAAAATATTTTTTTTCAATAATAATGTAGATATTGTGTAGTTGGATAAAGATGCGTTTAAAAAAGAAATTGACTAAGGGTGAGTTTTTATTGGTCAAAACTTATGATGAGGAAGGGAATTAGTGGGATGTGAAAGTTGATGAAGGATTATAGTGTTGTTGATAAGGACCAAGCAGAAGTAAGGATGTGTCCCAAAAAGAGTTTATTGATGAATTTAATGGCCTAATTATTGAGTCTTCTTTTGGATGTTACGGAGCCTATTCATGCAGGATATGATCGAGTTTGATCATAGAAAAGATTCTTTACAAGTGAAACCAGCCTATCCTCTGTAGGGACAGACTTTGCGTGGTAGTCGGAATAAAGACACATTTAATTGTAAATTCAAATATGGTAGATAAGAGAAAATCATATATATGCGTGGCCCAATCAATAGTTCAAGTCACACACTCCCATAATCCATTTCTTCTTCGTAGAATTCCCTTCAAGTATTCGTGTATGTAAATAATAATAATAATAATCCAATTTTGTTAAATTGAAGAAAAATATCCAAATACATGTCTTATTCTTTTAAATAATCCATATTTGTAGCAATGAAATATATTCCTCCCCCAAATAAGAAATGATTAATTACAAATATCTATTATTCATATTTACTATAAAGGACCAGAAATGCCTTGCTTACGTATCATTGGAAAGTGCATTAACATAAGTACGAAAGTAAAAAGAGGTAATACAAAAGTATGCAAACTATAAAAATGAGTCAAGGTGGATTATCCTACACTAGAACTTCCGTGTAATAACTCTACCAAAGAAGATCCTATTACAGGAATAGCTTCGGGCACGCCTGTTACAATTTTGACTGTCCAATAACCAATTTGATCCCAAGGTAAGGAATAACCAGTTACACCAAAAGATGCGGTTAATACAGCTAAAACTACACCGGTAACCCAAGTTAATTCGCGAGATTTTTTAAAGCCACTTGTGAGATAAACGCGAAATACGTGCAGAATCATCATTAAGACCATCATACTTACCGACCATCGATGAACTGATCAGATTAACCAACCAAAGTTAGCCTCCGTCATTATATATTGAACAGAAGCAAAAGCTTCAGTAACAGTCAGACGATAATAAAAAGTCATAGCAAATCCCGTTGCTACTTGGACTAAAAAACAAGTAAGTGTAATTCCTCATAAACAATAAAATATGTTTACATGGGGAGGAACGTATTTACTGGTTATATCATCGACAATCGCGTGAATCTCAAGACGTTCTTCGAATCAATCATAGACTTTATTGAAATAGGTAAACTAAGGTACCCCCGAGAACTGTATATGAGAATTTCATCTCGTACGACTCAAACAAAAATACCCAAATACTGGTTGTAATGAAAACAGATATGTGTAATAGAAAACTTGAAACTTCTTAACTGAATCCTATGATTCCAATCTTTTTTTAAGATAAGAAAAAATAGAAATCCAAGATTAGTTAATCGTGTAATATAAAAAAAAAATTAATCAGTCCACTTTGTGAGGTGAAGAGGAAGAAACATGATTCTAACTCCAATTTATGAGCTCAATTTAAATTTATGAAAAAAAATTTTGTGAAGGAATCAAAACTTGGGCTAAATACTTAAAATATGTATCTTAGAAGTGACTTGCAGTAGGGTTAAGCGATTTAAAATTTTCATATTTATGAGCTCAATTGTGAATTAGATTAACGATCTTTGACATATATTGTTAATTCCTTTTTAAAGTTGTAACATGTTAGAATACTCCTTGTACTCTAAATTTGTCTTTATTAAAATGTTAATATTTAGTAAAATAAAAATAAAAATATTTGTATATTTAAGATAACAAAATGAAACTATAAAAATATTGAAAATTTTGTACCAAAATTGCAAAATTTATTTAACATTTAGTATTTAAAAATGATTTAAAATTTTCAATATAATGCACATTGTACAATGAATTTACAAAATAAACATAAGATGTAAAAAAAATATAAATTTAAGCTGCATTTAAAAAATTATTCATTTATAGTATATGTTCATGTGTATTAAAATATAAAATACATTCATTATAATTTTTAATTTTTTTTAAATATTGTTTTAATTTGAATATCTCATTACAATTAATTTTTTAACAAATCAAATATTAGATAAATTAAGTAAAATTTTTTAAAATTAATTTAATTAATTTAATTAAATAATTACATAAAAATATAAATGCTAGTCAATATTTTCAAAATATTGGTTAAAGAAATTAAAGAAATTAAAGAAATATAAATTAAGGTATTTTAGTGAAAGCAATCCATTTTGTCATAATGATTAAAGAAATTAATAATTTTGTTATATTCCTTCCCCCCTTTTTAAAATTAATCACTCTGAGATATTGATAGAGAAGTGACAAATAAAAGTAATATTTTGATTTTGATTAAAACTATGATATAAATTGAAGAAAGAAAAGGAATGAAAGGAGGAGGCTCCTAGGTGTCCTAGTGTAAAATATAAAAAAAATGACTTTATTAAAATATCTGAAAAGAAGTAAATGAAATAATTTGCAAAAAGATGAATGCAGGGGCGTAAAAAGGGGGGTGGTTGGGGGAGGGGAGGGGATGGGTTAGGCTATATAATAATAATGTGGGTAAAAGCAAAAGAAAAGAAAAGAAAAGAAAAGGGAAAGGAAACACTAATAAATCAAATCGAGAAGAGATGGAGAAGGAGGCATTAGGGTTACCTCAAAATGAAATCCACATGCTCGACTTCCCACTTCACATACTCTCTGACATCATGCTCAAACTTCCACCATACTCCATCATTAGATGCGCCTGCGTCTGCACCACCTTCAGAAACATCGTAACTGACCCTTCCTTCAAACACCTCTACTTCTCACGCGCCCCAACCACCTGCGTCCTACTCTCCGATCACCACCGTCTCTCCACCCTCCACTCCTCCCCCCCTCAGACCTCCCCTTCCTCCGCCTCCTCCTGCCTCGCCCGCATCCATTCCTCCGCCTCCTCCCTCAGCGGCATCGACCCAATTCTCCCCCACCCCAAAAACCCCACCCCCGACACCTCAAGGTTCATCTCCTTCCAGGGACACATGAAATTGGTCAATTCCAGCCACGGCCTCCTGTGCATGCGCTCTCAATATCCCCTCTACATCGTCTGCAATCCCTTGTTCGGCGAGATTCTCTCCCTCCCTCCACCCCCCACCACCTCCAACCAATTCGTCCGATTCTCCGCTTTCGGCTTCGATCCTCTCACCAACCGTTACAAACTCATTCAGATTGTCCCCAGGCACGATCAAGTCGTCGCTGAATTGTACCAATTGGGAGACGACACCTGGAGGACCATCGAGAATGTTCCATCGCCCAGGCCCGACAGCGCCTTTGACCCCTCCCTCAACGGTGCCCTTCACTGGGTCACCGACGCCACCCGAGTCTCCGAATTGATATGCTCCTTTGACCTCCATACGGAGAAGTTCAAATCGGTGCCTCCGCCTTCCCACTTCAATGCGGAGTACGCCAATCACGTGTTTGGCACGTGCGTTGGTGTCTTCAAGGGTCGACTGTGTTTGTGCTATGTGAGTGAGGGTGCGCGCTTCGAGACTTGGCTTATGGAGGAGTACGGCGTGGAGGCCTCTTGGACTCGGGGCTTTGCTATTGACATACAATCTTATTGTGGTCTTAGACTCCACGACAAGCACAGGCCCATTGGGTTCAGCAGCTGTGGGGACATGTGGCTCAAAGCTGACTCTGATTCCGATCCCCATTCCGAGTGTCTCGTCTCCTACACCGCCGACAAGGGTGTTTTCCGCCACATTGATATCGGGGGAATCGCTTCCAACAATGTTGAAGCCGTTCCTCATGTTTTCAGCCTCGTTTCGCTCAGGAACCTAGTTGACGTCAACAACCCGCATCTCACTTTCCAGATTATAAGACCCAAAAAACGCCCCTGTTATGCACCTCTCGATTTAACCATTGGCATTAATCATTATTATGTATGATACTTAGATACAACTATACTGCAATTTTCCAATAAACTTCTTTAAGAGTTGATACTTATTATTATGCGCTGTTCCCTGTTTAGACTGAGCATGGTATGAAGAAATTAGAGTAAATCTTGGGGGGCGTTAGGCCCTATTTCCTGGAACAATATCTACGGAGGCTTCATTTTTTTAATCTGCGAATACACATGACTCGATGCATTTCTTCTGAAATGTCAGATGCTTTCCTTGGGATCAGAGCCTGTTGCTCTGATAAACGGGTCATTCTACAAGTTTCTGCAGAGAGTGATGCCAGATGTATAACATGCAAAATGTCTGTCAAATACCTCTTTCTCATTTTTAGTTTTTTAATACATTTCTTGGACATATACAATCAACTTTGATCAGTGGCGTTATTTTGAGATTGTCCACTGGTGAAAAAAATCATGACGAATCAGTTTCATAAGGAAATTGTGTTCAACTATTCACCCCCATACCAAACCCAGCCTAAGCTGTAAAACATGGCTTCTTTGTGGTACACGCCTGTGCCTTTTTTGTTAGAGAACTCTGAACACTACACTACAGGGCCTTCTTTCATAGCTTTGTCGTACTAGGAGAATGGACCTGCCTTTGCAATTACCTTCTATCCCATCAGGAATCAGGATTGACTGCGGTCAACGGTAAATCATCTCAGTGCTAGAAAATTTCATAGCCATACTCTCCATATCATACCTATTATTGAGGCAATTAGGAAGTCTGTTGTGCAGAAGTTGTTATAACTGTAGGGGATCTATATCCCGACCTCTGGGAATTAGGAAATAACGCGAAAAACGAACTGTATCGCCTACATTAGTACACGGCTTTACTTAGATTAAAAATGCCTAAACTTTTTTGGTTCTGTCACAAGTACAGCATCTGGAACAGACTCGGCAACACTTTGCAAAAAGCTTCTTTTGTACAACTATAGCCAACACTCCCTGCCTTCTTTGATTTTGTAAACGAGTATATAAATTGACGGGTGATGATATACATTTTGTTGACACACATACAAATTAAAAAGTTATATTTTAATTTTTATATAATGATTTTGTTATGTTTTTATTCTTTTAATAAAGAAAGTAATTAAATTATAATAAAATACTTGTATAGAAATTAAAATACAACTAGTTTATAAATATGTATTTCAACTAATTATAATTTAAAAATAATATAATATAATAAATTTACTTATATAATTTAACTTTATATTTATAATACTTTTTTTTTATTGATGAAAAAATTTACTTAATTGTATATTTTATTTTTTTATCTTAATTTTTAAAGAATGAATAAAATATTAATGTTAATATTTTTATTATAATTTTGTAACATGTAACTATATCAATTCATATATAATTTATAATTTTTTTGTCAATTGTTTGGTGCCTAAAGTACTTTAATTAAGAGTTTGCAAAACTTTCTAGAAAAAAATACTTAATTAAATTTATATTTTTATATAATATATCAATATATCAATTTCATAATATATTTAAAAAATATTTTTTATATAAAAAATAAAATGTTTATTATATTTGAAATGTGAAATTATACTACCATTCAAATTTCTAGAGAATCGATTTTATTACACAAATAAATTCATAATTTTTTTTATCATGAATAAATGTTTTTTAACTGTAATAAAAGTCTTTATCACATATAAATTATTCTTAATATTTTATTAATTTATGTATTTACCAAATCAATAAATTTTATCAATAAATATGCATAACCTTAAACCATAAATGATCTTTGACTTAAATATGAATTTTCAATATTTTTAAATTTTATAACTATTTTATATAGTGGCTGATTTATATTTTTTTTTAATAAAATAATATACTTCATATGGTTAACACTTAACTATATGGATCAATTATAAATTTTTTTCAAAAATTTTGATAAGTTTGTCCAGAGAAAATAAAAAAACAGCCACCAAATAAAAAAAAATCATGGAAGTTTAATAATATTAATATGAAATGATTGTTGGTTCTCCCAAGGACCTAGGAGTGCCCCTATAGAAATGAATTGATTCTCTTACATTGTGGTGGTTCCGAACAATAATTTACCAATTACAAACAAACGGTTCTCATATTAATACGATTTACCATTTGTTTAAAAAAATTTGACGTTTGTAAAGTTATGTGGATCGATTCTTTAGAAGCAAATATTTGGAAAGTCTAAAGAACATCAAACAGGAGAAACCAAAATAGTGCCTGACGACCAAGATGCCCCCCTCTCTGTGCTTCTGATAACAAAGCCGAGGAGGCTAAAGACAAAAAAAAAAGAGTTAGAGCCTCAAATTCAACAGCTCAATCAAACAGAGTAAAGAAACCAAGCCCCCCACAGTGGTACTACTCCCCTAGTTTATTTTTTCCTCCACACAAGCCAGAAAGATTTTTGACTGTAACTCTAAACTGAATTTCAAATGTATTGAGCGAAAATGGGATGATACTTCAAATTGATCCCTCAAATTGGCATCACTAAATTTAATCCTCATCAACGTTACAAAAAATAAATTTAATCTCTACCTTCAACATTCGTCTATCAATTCGTCTTAAAAATAAATACCACAAGTCAATTTGATTTCTAATAAATTAGTCACTCAATTCAATCCCTAATGTTAAAGATCAAATTGATAGATACCCAAATTAAAGAGTAAATTTAAGTTACCAACTTAATAGCTTTTTTATAATAAGAAGTAAATTGACTCATAAAGGACTGGATTTACCTTTTTATAAGGTCAAATCAAATTAGCATATGGTGTTAATTTGAAAAGAAACTGATGTTCCACAAGCGAAAAAGGGGCAGATAGTAGGGCACAGTGAAAGACAGGAAACGGTGAGAAAGAAAGAAAACAAGTAAATTGTCAATGTAAGGAGGCATAAAATGTAGCCATAGACGACACACAAAACATAGTCTGAATTTTATACATTCAATACGAACATAAACACAAAGCTTCTTATTATAGGGAACAGTGAAAAAAGGGGAAAGCGATTATGGAGTCGAACAGTTGTCAGTGCTCCCCAGCCTTCACCTGCATAAGGAATTAGCAGAGAGGAAATACTGTGTGTGAGAGAAAGCTGCACCAGTTTCAAAATAATATTATCTCACAGTGCGCAAAAGATAACCATTTTCAAATTTATAAAAAAAAAAGAAGGCATTGAGCAAGTGCGATCCCCAATCCCTCTGATTCACAAGTTATAATGCACGCAAATAACAGTAAGTCGGGCATCCATAGTATAAAATTTGAAGTTAGAAAAACAAATATTGAATAGCGAGAAAGGAAAAAAGGTATAGAAATAGAGAATTGAAAAAAAACCCTAGGGGGGGAGGAAGAGTACATGAGAGGAAGGAGAATGAGCATAGACTCTGTCGTAGATTTGTTCGCCGACGAGATAGATGCCGAAGGCGACAAGAGCGATGCCGAGACCAGGCGTGGCGTGACGCAGCTGATTCGACAGCATCGGATGCTTCCTCCACTCGTCCCTCCTCCTGAAAAACTCCGCTGTGTTCTTTCCCGATCCCATTCTCTCTCTCTCTCTCTCTCTCTCTCTCTCACCCACACACCCACACACACCCACTCACGTACCCTTTGTCTTTTTCTTTCGAGACTTAATGGGCTCGGCCCAATAAACATAAGTCCAGTGGATGAAGCCCAAGCCCAGGGTGAGTGATGAGGTTGTTTGTTCTGGTGGTCTGAGTGTCAGTCACCCCTCGGCGTGCTTATGTGCAGTGGAAGGGAGAGATGGCAGTTATTCAGTTTCAAGCTCTCCCATTTCATGCTCGTTTCTCTTCTTCTCGTTCTCGTTCTCCTTTGGCGTTCCCAAACACAGGCAAGTCTGTGAATGGCTTCTCGAATTTTTCGTCGGGGTCAGGTGGTCATGCATTAACAATCCGATCAAAGAAAAATGCAAAACCAGGTGTCACTCTGTGCTCAGCACAGCCACAATCGGCGCAAGTGAGTTCTTCCATTCGACATAAATCATTATACATTCAATGATGTATGAATATTCAATCATGATTGTTACGCAGGAGGAGAAGGAGGAGCTTGGTATTGTTAGAGAGAGAAGCGTGTCCGTTGTCTTACTGGCTGGAGGGAAGGGCAAGAGGATGGGAGTCTGTTCTATTCTTAACTCTCTTTATTCCAAATTCGACTACTCTTTCCTTCCCAATTCAATTAAATTCAACTCGGTATTTGTTTGTTGTCTTTGTGTAAATAGGCCAACATGCCAAAGCAGTATCTTCCTCTTTTGGGTCAACCCATTGCTTTGTTTAGGTAATCAATCGCAACCTATTCTTTATTTCAACAATGAACACATAACAATTACATATAAATGCTTTCTGCACTCCATCACTACATAATGGAATCGTGACACTATTAGTTTTCCTGATTCCATTTCCCACAACCGTGACTGCAAAAGGGATTGCTGACTTTCTCAAAAAAGGACAGCCTAAATCTTCCTTAGCCTGGAAAATTCTCTATTCTGACTTGCCTGGAAAATTCTCTATTCTGACTTCTAACAAAGTGGATAATTTGGCATTCTGTATTCATTTTACTTTGCGTGTAGCTTTAGTCCCATTATCTGCTCTATATTGTATTTCATTTCTTTCTGACGTAATTAGATACAGAAATGCCAATCCTTTTCAGTTTTTACACTTTTTCTCACATGGTTGAAGTGAAAGAAATCATTGTTGTTTGTGATCCTACTTACAAAGACATCTTTGAAGGTATTTCTCCCCCTTTATTTTAGCTTTGGATTCTGTTCTAAACCATGTATTTGCCTCTTAGTTATTGCGGTTCTTTTTCCCTCAGATGCACAAGGAAATGACCAAGCTGAACTTAAATTTGCACTGCCTGGAAAAGAAAGACAGGATTCTGTTTACAGTGGCCTTCAGGAATGTGCAGTTGTTTTTTTTTTTTTTTTTTGGTTTTAAATCTTCATGATGGACTATCTTTGCGCATTCTATGTCATTTTGTTTATTTCTTAGATATTTATTCCCACATAATGATTGTTGGTTGGGGACGAGTAACCTGACACCATTCCCCGCCCCCCCCTCAAAAAAAAAGAAAACAAAGGCACCTGAAATGTGTCTAAATAACCAAGATCTTGCCAGTAACCAAAACAATTTTCTTGGAAATCTCTTGCGTTAACTATGTAGTCAATTCATTCATAAAATTACTCTATAAAATTTCTGGATCAGGTCATCAGAAGCATTGAGTCACATTGCTGGGTGAATCAATCAGTGATGTAATACGTATAAAATCTAATCAATTTACATATCAACATATCAGTTTTCTAGCCATCCACATTTACAATAAATTTCAAGTTTTCATGCTCTCAAAATAATAAGCTGTTAAAAATCTTTAAGTTGAAATAAGATATTAATTTAACTGTTAACACAGTATGTGGTTTGGATGTTTGATTCTTAGCTGCATAAGTTAAAATTGGGAACTTTCTTTAAGCACTTTGGTAGCTCATCTTAATGTTGTCTTGTTGATCCCTTTAACACCCACAGCTCCTTATATAATCATTAATGCTCCCTTGTTTTGTTTTTCTCTTTTGCAGGCCGTTGATTCAAACTCTGAGCTTGTTTGCATTCATGATTCTGCAAGACCTTTGGTATTATCAGGAGATGTTAAAAAGGTTTGGGTTGAATAAGTGTATCTTGCACAAGTTTAAGTCCATTGCTTTTAATTTTCTTAAAGTTAAATATTCATGAAGACAATTTCAACATTCTTACATTAATCTTGTGAGAGTGAAATACAAAAGAATTCTCGTCCTCCAGCAGTGATATAATCAGGAAGATATCAACTTTACATTTGTGTAAGTCTTAGTGTCAAGGAAGCATGTACACTTCGAGAAGATAGTAGCTGTTTGATGTTGGCCGGTGCCAAATATGTATTCATATTGGACAGTTCGACACTCCTAGATATCAATTTACAATTCAATGGATTCATATAGGAGGATGCTTAGATTACTCATTTGTATTCTGGTTATAGGTCCTTAAAGATGGATTATTGAACGGAGCTGCTGTTCTTGGCGTCCCTGTGAAGGCCACAATCAAAGAGGTATTCACCAGTTGTTAGCATGTGTATGTCATTTTCTTCAATTATGTTAAGTGGTTGATGAATTTTTCTGTATAAAGTGAATTCACCATCCGCAGAAAGAATTATGAGGTAAATTTCAAATTCGAATGTGATAAACCACTTACTACAAGAATCCACATCTCTATATTTCTCTCCTGACAACAGAGCACTGTTCAACAGGGTTGCTGATTGGTGCATATACTTCAGGACCAAAAGCAATTAATCTTAAAATAGTTTCTGCTATGATTTCCAACAATTAATATTTATCTTCAATTTTTTTTTCTTTCCTTTCAAGTAAAGAGTATTTGTCTGGTATTTTTCATGGTTATTTTCTTTCACCACTTCCCTGTTTGTGTTGGATCTGTGTTTTCTTTTCTGGCAGTCAATGCACAAGCTTAATATCTAAATTTCTCCTTCAAAAATTATTATGATTCAAGTTTAGGTTCCAATTTTGAGTAGAGATTGAATTCTTCTGTTCCCTTCGGAGTTATGTAACTGCTGCACAACTATGGACAATTTTATTCTCGGCTGTGCCTCTGTTTACACTTGATAAAAGTGGCAATAACTATAGGCATACTTATGCGATCAATAATGTCTTCTAGTATATACATCGCAATTTTCATTCTAAACAGGCACATATATCTATAAATTGAGTTCCTTTCCTTTAATGGGCTTGAATGTGATGAAATTTGTCTAGCAATCTTTCTGCAGGCAAATAGTGAATCGTTTGTAGTTAGAACACTGGACAGGAAAACGCTATGGGAGATGCAAACCCCACAGGTCACAATTGCAAAACAAAATAATATATATCGTTTTTGTTTGACAACTTGGTCAATTTCTTAGATGCTTATCCATTTTTACAGGTTATCAAGCCAGAGTTGCTGAGGAAAGGCTTTGAGCTTGTAAATAGGTAGTTTCTCATTTTTATGCTTAGTTTAATTGCTACTATTTGTACACATTAAAAGTATCTTATTCTTCGGTTATGCACTGACTCTGAATGAAAAAATGTTGTCCTAGTGTCATACTTTTTTCCATCAAAATTAGAGTTTAACTCAGTGAAAGGTTAATATTTAAGGTTATTACGAGCTCCTGCGGTGAAATTCTAATATTGGTTGAAAAACTAATGTTAAAAAACACTTAATTGCACCCAAGTTATGTCCCTCTATGAACTAGAAAGTAATATAGACACATGTTAGACAGCTCGATGAGTCGCCCACTATTAAATTGGAATATGGAGTAACAAATGCAGATAATTTTGTTTTAATATTCGCATCTAACTCGTATTTTATGCACAACCCTCTATACAGAGAGGGTCTTGAAGTTACAGATGACGTATCCATTGTTGAGCACCTTAAACATCCTGTTTATATCACTGAAGGATCTTATACCAACATCAAGGTAGTCAAACTTCCTATTTCTTCTCTATTGGATGCTACGTTGTTAGCCACTTATTACATAAAACCTTGTTTTGGAAGTTGTAACTCACATCATCTGCTGCCATGAAGAATATTTTAAACACACTCTTTAACACACTTTTATTATTTATTAGTTTTTAGAAAAGTTAAAGTAATATTTTAAAATTAATTAATTTTCGAAGCAAGTGTTTTGACTTAAAAAAAACTAATTAAATACAATAGATTAAAAAGTGTGTTACTACGTTATTTATGCTTCAATATGATGTGCTTCTGATACCATGTTGCTGGCACGCGCTTAGTCTAACTAAGCCAGTCCCAAAACTAGAAGAGAGATGTTTCTTATTAAGAAAGCGAATGAGCATGAATTCACGTGCTTTTATGTTTTTTTCAAATTTCGTTTTGTACCATTTACTATTTTCAAAACTGAAAAAAAAATCCGGGCTTAAAAGAATTTGAGCCGGAAAAACTGGGCTCTTGGGCGTAGGCATAACTTATCTTAGGTAAATAGAAAAGAATTTGGGCTTGGTTTGATCAGTTATAACAAGTTAAATTTGATTTTACTTATTTTATTGTGAATTTTACTCGTTTGTTTTAGACAAAAAGAAGACACATTTTTTTGTTATAAACTTACCTCCTTTGACATATTTGGTATCCCGAATCGCGTGCACTTTAACATATTTGACTTTAAAAATAAAATTAACTAACAACGAAAAATTTTCTTGAATTCATTTTTTCTTTACGTTTGGCTTCGATAAAGAAAATTACTTATTCTAGCAGTTGCATTGAAGCATGTAGGCCCTGTTACAAAATACTAGAGATATAAACTTGTATTGGGAACTGTTTTGCAGGTTACTACGCCTGATGACATGTTACTGGCAGAGAGAATATTGAATCTAAATTCTGGGGAAAATATAGTTTTGCCGTTTCACCTTTAAAGGGAAATCGTTCTCAATTAATTTTTCCATGAAAGAAAAGTTACTTTTGGTCCTGCAAGGTGTAAACCATCTCACAGCACAGAAAACGGTAAAGAAATTTTTGAGTGGCTTTGTATCACTTATTTTGAGATTTGTGAACACACATGGTGCTTGCTTGAAACAAGGAAAATGTCCCCGCATGGGAGCGAATATCCACTTCAATCTTCAAAGCTAGTTTGGCAACACACGTGATGAAGTCACGTTTATCTTGAATTTCTGATTCAATAAGGTTTTTCAAGATGAAGGATTCAAATTATTGCAATAAAACCTTCAAAAATAAAATTATTGCAATGAATAATTTACAAACGAAAACAGAACTTTGTTTAATATGAATTATGATTGATATTTTAATTTTTTAATAAGTTTATACTCAATGAAACAACAAAACAAAACTAAATAAGGAATATTGAATTGTCAATTTGACAAATGCCATCATGCAATTTTTTGCAAAATTTTGGTAGTGCATCAGTTCTAGTGGTGTAAACATTCAATTTACAGTAGTGACACAACACATGACAAGAAAAAATCAATCTGATGGACATTATTTTTTACATTGTTTTGAAAAATAGTTTATAACTTGTTATTATTTTGGTAAAACTGCCTGCCATTCTAGCATAGAGACAACAAAAGGACAAACCATTGGACTTGGTGTGATTGATACCCCCTGGTCGAATCGGCAATGACAAAATTGTGCAAATCACAACAAACGAATAACAAATATTTCTTATTAAATTTTTTTAATTATTTTAAAAACTAACATCAATTATTTAAGTAAATATTCTTAAAATATTGATTAATATTTGGGTTCTCAATAATTCTCTGAATTTACTTACGAGTGGTTTTAAGTAAATTAAACTGTTAGCTGTAAAACACAAGATGCTTGAAGAAAGACCAGCAATTTTACCCGTGCTAGGCGAAGTGCCTTTCTATGCCCGGTCGCGCACGCTCACTAACACCCCGCCAGTTCTTTGCTACTCCAACTCATTTCCATCCTTTTTTTTTTCCCCATTTTACTATATATCCTATACACAGAGTTAGTCCTAAATTTCATTTGTACGAGATGCTTGGGTGCGCTTCAATTTGGAAGTATAGAAGTAGCAAGAATTATAAAAAAGCAAATAAGATTTCGTAGAATGGAAACTAGGAAGGTTTCAATGTTTCTCTTTATTAGTTCTTTAAATAAAGGATGGAGCAAAGGGAACACAGAAGCTGAACCACATAACCTTCACATTTCACACTCGCATCCTTCAAGAATAGCTCAGAGAAAGAAAGAAAAGTAGGAAAATTTTTGGAAAAAAAAAAGAAAAGAAAAAAGAAAATATATATTGGATGAAGGTCCTTAATCCCTCCTTATCTTCTCCGCTCCTTTTTCTTAGGCTTACCGCACTCACCAAACAATGCAAAACGCCCAACTTTACGCCCTCTAACTGGGGTGCCCCCTTTTACCTGCTTACATTACAACAAACAGTGTTACATGTTTCCTTAGAGCCTCAACAAAAACAAGTTATTGAGACAATTTTCAAATTAAGAGTACAGAATTGAATTACCTTTATTATCCTTCTTGGCTTCGACTTATTCCAACATAAAAATCCACAACCTCCAGCTCCCGACCCCGATTCATATCCCCTACAACAGTATGCAACAAATAAAACAAATTCATCTTTTGAACTTGCAATCATTTTCTGTACGCCTCTTTTTTCACTCGCATGCAATATTTTATCATTTCACTTTAAAATATTAAACCAATGGTGCAAATGAGAGGTTTGAGAAAAAAGTTCATGTAATGTAAGTACAAAAAATTTTCATTATATCGACCACTTCAAAACCACACTGCAGGAAGCTTTTGTTTTAGGTTTGAATTAAAATCAAGATTCACACTGAAATTGTCTAGATTAAGGAATACAAACATGTTAATATCCTCATGATATAATTTATAGCTAATTTCTAAAAGAGCCTCTAAAAGCAGTTTAAAATATACAATCTATAATCTCGATAATGGAATGAGTGCATGAGTGCAATCATTTCCAGATATATAAAGAGAATTAGAAAAATATTAACACTGAATTAACAGTTATCAGGTCAGATGTCAGAGTCAGACACCATATATGGGGTCCATTCCAGATGGATGCCATGTTAAGTGGCAAAGTGCAAAGGCTCCAGACAGAGCTAACATGTGTGAGAGAGTGTATGTGTATGTATTGACTGCACAAATCACATGATAAAGTACAATTTAAAATACTATAATCATGTATGTCAACCACAATAATTTTCAACTAGGCATACATACCACAGAATCAACTAGATACAATCCAAAAAGTCCAAACAAATATTAGTAATTTTACCCCAATATTACCATTCAAATTCCAATTTCTATAACCACATAACTTGTTAAGAGACAAGTTTCAATAGCAACAGTGAAAAGCTTTTCCTATGCAGGCAATGTAATCCATCCAAGATGCATCTTGTAGCCATGACAGATACTTTATCCACCCAGAATAATGCAAGGCATTCATCATGCAATTTGCTACAGTTTCTAACCATATGGTACAAGAGAGATGGATAGTGAAATTGAAAGAAGACTTACAGATTGTCTTTTACAGAAATTGTTGCTAAACTGCTGTCATGCAATAAACTTGGGGACATGGGATAACAATCTGCCCTTTTACCAATCTGATCCTTCTGTAGGACCCTTCCATTTTTAACACTCAAAACTTTGACTTCATTATTCGGGTCATCTTCCCAATGCTGGTGAGAGGAAAATCTTGTTGAATCCATGGACTCCATTTGGTTTACACAATACACACCATCCTGCGGCAGGACTTGATTCTTCTCCGGTCTCAAACGACTTAATGATCCAGGGGAACCTTTTTCTACAGCCTGTAACCAGGCAGTTTCCAGCCTCTGCTCACGAATGATGGATTCAATTCTCTGCATTGGATTATCATGTCTCCTCTCCCTCACACCATTTCCTTCTGCCAGAATATCTGATGAACCGGAGGTAGATTGAAGATTTCCATCCAGTAAAGGAGGCAGACTAGAATAAGACTCTGTTCCATTCATATGACCACCTCTTTGTTCCTTTTCACCTGCCATGGTTGACTCTGCCTGCTTTTGGCCCAGTAGATTTACCTGATTTTCACCTTCACCATCTGGCAAGTGTATTATTCTGACCTCCACATTGCGTCTAAGAACCATTTCCATGGAATTTGTAATGCTTCTTAAGAACCTCTCAGCCCTAACTTTAATATCTGCGTCTCTGAAAGCAACATAGGCTACCAAAATACCTGCAAGAACTAAATTAGTAGAGAGGGGGTGCACAATGCATTACAAAACAAAAGCAGATTTCTAGTAATAAGATGCAAAATAGAGGGGAAAGAAAAAAAGGGAGATCTGTGCTGTAAAGAAACAAGAAAGACTGAATGAAGATGAAAATATTGGATAAAATCCCTGTTAGATTATCTTCAAAATATCTTAGAGGGAGAGAATGATGCATAATCGACTAAGATAATTCATGTTATTTTAATGATAATCGTGCTACTTATTTTTAAGAATTTTTAGGAACTTAAACCTTGTTCTTGGGGAATCTATCTTATCTTGTAAGTTATTTGTTAACTTGTTAGATTAGGGTTAGAGCTTAGGAATTCTGTACTTAACCTAATTCCTAGTATAAATAGGGATTGGTAACAGTACTTGGTTTTGTGCAACACATCATAATACACAATATTAATATCTTTATTATTTTGAGTCTCTTTTCTCTTTTTTCCTCCTTTACCTAAATTCTATGATTTCAACAAACACACTGAAAAAATATCTATTAAACTCCTATGAATTGCACTTACAGCCAAAATGATTAAGTTCTATTCTATCCACAAAACACATTCTACCCATCATCAATGATGTGGATCAGTTTCTGGACAGTATAAATTCAATTCAAGTTGACTTTCTTTGTCCATTTTATGTAAATCATGTGTCAATTATCTTCTTTTAATAATAGAACTAGACATAACTGAAATGAAAAAGGGAAGAATGTAGAATAATTTCTAAAATCAAGTAAAATATCCCTTTGATTAGTACATACAAGGGCAAACAATTAGCCGGCAATCATTGGGTAGTTATCATCAGTAACAACAGTGCATTGGTGAATATTGGCTTCTTCTGTATAGACTTCGAAAACCATAGCTATAAAAAGCATCCAGTATCTATTTGTTTAAAAGTAAACAACTTAATATAACTAAGTTTGTCAGAAATGCTTCTAAATAAATAATCTTAAACAAGCAAGTTCAGTTTTGAAACAAAAAAATTATTAGCATACCTTCTACTTCACATACGGACACAAGCTTTCCATGGCTGTGTAGCAGCTGCTTCAATGTCTTAGAGTGACATCTCCCAATACAGTGCACCCAGATTTCACTTAACTTCCCTGAATCTATGCATCTAAACATTGTATTCCCAACCATATGATCATCAGATGAGACCACTGTGGAGCCATCATCTATAACTGGCTTGGATTTCAAGCTGAAACCATCAATCTTTGAGGACATATCCTTTTGATGGCTGGAATTGTCATTTACCATCTTTTGCTGGGATGCAGTGTATGTTGACTTTCGAGGCATATATTGAACATCTGACTTGTGCTTGCAAGAAGTAACATCTCTTGAAGCACTTGATGGATCATCCTCAGTTGTCTTGCAGCTCTGCCTCCTGCTGCTGCCCGATTGAGTAAGATCAGGAGAAGGTATAGAACCAAGCTGTAACAGAGTAGCAGTGAACCATGTTGAGCGTTCACTGGATGTCCTTATCTGCTTCTCAGCTTCTGAGAGAAGCTTCAAAGCATTCTTTAACCTCTCCAATTCTGATTCATTCACTGGGCACGAAATCCAAGTGTGCATTTCAGTAATCACCAGAGAATGATAGAATTTTCATTATTATAACATTACAACTAAAACAGATAAAAAGTGCAGTGAACGACCAGGAAAGAAGCCACAAATGCCAAAAACATATACGACTTTTCTGACCATTCAGTGTGCAGATAATGTGTATCAAAGCCCAAGGTCACAACCTAAAAACAAGATTTATGAAGCAGACTCCAATGACATTGAAACACATTAAACCAGGGGACTTTTTTAAAATGAGAGAGTTTTTCTGGTTGACAATTGTGAAGCTCCACCAAATAGAAAAGTAAAGTAAAAAGAACATTTTAAAATATAGAACTGAGAAGTTGTGCATTATAGATCAATACCCAGCCTTCACTGTTGCTTCTAATTAAGAACTTAACCTGAATGATAAACAGTAGCATAGATCACATCTAGTAATGAAAAACAGTAAGTCATGTCATAGCAAACTATTGATATGTTTCACTTGGCCAAACATGCACTGAATCTATAAGCTCATTGTATAACAGCATTATGTAGAAACACAATGCTCTTGGTTCAGGTTTGCCAATATCCTTTCTGATTTAGATGAGTAAATGAACTTATCAGTCACTCTAAACTTTTGAAAGGGAAAGGGCATTGCACTAAAGTTATACTGTGTGCTTCATAGATTTTTAACCATACTAATGCCAAATTAAGATGAATAAAAAAGATAAAAATCTTATCAAATCTAAGAAGGTATTGAACTCACAACTCCGTCCACCAAAGAATGAATCATCAGGTTTGGCATCAATGACTGTATATGACCCAGCAATTATGTCCATAATAAGGCCGGCTAGTTGAGACATCAAAACCATTGGATCAACTCCAGAGTCCATCAGTTCTCTGGCTCTTTTCACTGTCTCTACAGTGTCTGATGACATTGCTAACTCCAAAAGTTCCAATAATTTTTCATCTGAAACAACTCCAACCTGTTGCAGGTAATATAAAACAACAGCATTATGTTTTAATGATAACCATGGGACCAGAAAAATTTATTTTAATGTCAAAATCATTATCAGAACTGTTAATTTTTTTTTTAATTAAATAATTGTTTAGATTAGCTTATTTTGTGCTCTAAAAGGTTTTTTGTCAGTTTCTTGAGAAATCTTTTTTAAAAAAAGATTATTTCCTCATAAATAAGTGTTTGAATTGAAAACATGCACAAGTCAAAGAATAACAGTAACAACAAACTCACAAGTTCATTGACAAGAGCAGTAGTAATTCTTTTCCCCAGCAAACCAAGCTGTTCCAACATTGTTTCTGCATCTCGAAGTGAACCGTCCGCATTCATAGCAATGAGGTCCAGTGCATCTGCTTCAACATCCAGGTTCTCATGAGTAGATATTTTCCTCAACCTGGTCACAATATCCCCATCTTTAATTTTATTAAAGAGGTATTTCTGGCATCGAGATTGTATTGTTCGTGGCACATTGTCAAGATCAGATGTTATGAATATGAATACAACTCGCTGAGGTGGTTCTTCCAGAAATTTGAGAAATCCCAGCCACGTCTTGGAGGGCAACAAGTGGCACTCATCAATAACAAAAACTGTATATCGTGAGGAGACTGATGATGGCCCAGCTGAAAATCTTTTCAGTAGATATCTAGCTTTATCAATTCCTTTCTTATTGGTTCCATCAACTTCCAGCAGATCACTGCTCTTACCAGAAATGAAATCAGCACACTCCCTGCAGTAGCCACAAGGCTTCCTCTCATCAGGACTCACACAATTCAGGGCAGCAGCAAATATCCTTGCTGTTGATGATTTACCAGTCCCACGGGGACCTTGAAAAAGATAGACGGGAGCAATTCGTCCCCTCGAAACAGCGTTGATAAGAGACTGAACCACAATATTCTGTCCAATCAGTTCACCAAAAATCATAGGCTTATACTTCTGGCTGAAACTTCGACTATTTTCTGGTGTGCCTTCATCTTCCCCTTCTCCTTCCCCATTAAGAGCTACAATCTCCAGTCCCTCTTGACTCCTACAACTTGACGACCACCTTCTTCCATCCAACCGGCTCAATCCCTCAAGATCAAGCTCCCCAAAGTTTGTGGAAAGTTCATCATCACTTCTACCAGTTCCCATAGACGACCCTTCTCTAACATCACCACTGTTAGTGAGCAATGGTATAACACCTCGAGCACTCCTCAAAGAAAGTCTCCGGTTATGGGAGGCAGAGGTGGATCTGCGATGTCCCGGATAAATAGTTTGACTGCCACAGAGAATGCTGCTTCCTTTCCTCCTCAAAGTGTCCGACAGTGAAGGAGAATAACAACTCCCACACATTCCTCTATGTTTGGGCGTTCTCTTGGACCAATAGCAAGGAATTCCGCATCCTTGGCGGCCAGGCAAATCCAAATGATCATCAATCTCATCATCACCATCATTCACTGAGGTGGTGGTGCCATCCCAGGATCCAACAGTGCTTGGATACCTGTGACCGTACCTATTGTAAGAACTGGTTGACAATGCAGGGGTGCTATAAGAATAAGAAGAGTCCTCTTTTCGGCTTCTCCTCATAAACTTGGAGGAAGAACGAGACCAATTCTTATTTTTGAGTTTCAGAAGCAAAGGGGAAGTCCCAGAAACCGGTCTCACATCCTCAGAATTACAGTAATCTTCAGTATCATCAGAATGTTCAACAGAGTCATCCCTGCCAAAAAAAGGCATCGAAATGGAGGGATGCCCCTCCAACAACGCCTTGGAGCTGGAGTTGACAAAATTTCTACCTAATCTATGCCTATGGTGTTGATACTTTGCTAAAATATCAAAATGGGGGTTGCTTTTCTTACTCTTCTTCTTAACCGGGGCTGTCCTTCTAGCTGCGGGTGTGCCCAAGGAAACAAGATTCGCATCTCCACATCGGAAAATGGAAGAACGAGTGCCACCACCTAAGTAAGTATCACTTTTTGAATCGCAACCATTGCGAGCATCGCTCAAGCTCTCTCTGTCCCCGAGAAGCGACGACGATCCACCACCATCATCTTCTTCTTCTTCCTCCTCCTCCTCCTCGTTGTGTTTCTCACTGGAGGATTTGTAGTTCTTCCAATTGCACAAGAAGACCCTCTTCTCCTTATCTTTGTCATTGTTGTTGGGAAGTGAATGGAGTTGAGAGTTGGGAGTGAACCTTCTGCTGGCACTGTCTCTGTTCCATGCAGCAACGGATCTTGAGGAACTGAGTGGTGACTTCCAAGAAGAAGTGGTGCCAGGATCTCTCAGTACTCTTGCAGCCTTCCTGATTTGGGTCAGCTCCTTCTTCAAATGGAGCTTACTTGGATCAGACACTCGCATATCTGACATGTTCTTCACCCCTCAACAAACCTGCTAACAATGACACACTCCCATTTGCATTTACTCACAATACGCTCACACCCACTTCAGGGTTCTCCTTCACCCGTCTATGCATCGTGTAAAAATCACAACTTGTTCAACGAGTGAGTGGGAAAAGAGAGAGGTGGTTTCAGCAGAAGCAGATCTGACAGAGAGAGAGAGAAGAGATAACTGAGTAGAGCGTGTGAAAATGAAATGGGTGTCTTTTTTCGTTGACTGTATCTCTCTCTCTTTCTCCCTCTCTCTCTCTTCTTCTGTGTGTTTATTTTCTTGTTATGAGACGTTAGGGTTTTTCATTTTTATTTGGCGCCCCAAGTGAATTCTTGAATTGAATCTGAGACACAGTGTCCGTGTGTGTCTGTTTGTGTGTGGGATTCAATGGGTCGTTTGGTTGCTTTTGATGATCATCGAAAGTACCAACAACATTAACATTTAACAACATAGCATGGGAGGAAAATTAAAATTAAAATTAAAAAGGAAGTGGGAAAGCTCCCTCCTTCAAACACGGGAACACTCCCCATTCATATTCGGGGTGTGGGTGGGAATTGAGATGAGAAGAGAAGAAAAGAGATTCTTCTCTTTCTAAAATGTCTTTTTTTATCGCCTTTGCCTTTGGAAATGCCTTTGATTGATTTGTATCTCGTTTCTCCAATTTTTGACTTTCTGTCCATCTTAATTGCGGTCATTATCTTGTGCCTCATTTGTTTTTCATTAACATCATTTCTATAAAGAAAAAGTGCTTTTATGAGGAAAAAAAAGTGTAAAATTAAAAAGAGATTAGGTATATCTCGGGTAATTTACCTTTTTATTTGTGTGTTGTTAAAAGAAGAAGTTGAATTTTTAATTATGGATGATTATTGATTGTCCTTGCCCGTCAACAAGGAAAAAAAGCTAGCTTGAAGTCATAATTTCAATTCATGCAGGTTCAAATAAATAAATAATAACGTATGACCCATTTGACAACTTAAATTTTATAAGGACAAATTCATCTAATCACACTTGAGTCTCGTTTGAAGTACATATGGGAACTAAGGTCACATTCAAATAAGAATTATACTATATTTGAATGTGCAAGGACAAATCATGTGAAATATCTCAAAATAAATGTTGACGTTATATATATTTGGAACGATTCCTTGTCTCGTACATATAAAAAACCCCGGTTCTTCCAAGTAAAAAAGTTCAAAAAGGTAAAAGGCAATTACATGAGAAATTTTCCTAAGAAAAGTGGACTAACACGAGTGCCATGTTGGAGCTTGTGGCTGTGAGAAGTGATCATAAAGCCTCGTAAGTGATGTCATAATCCGTATCGCCATAACTATTCTGAATATTGCTGTGGGCATTGAAGTGGATTGGTGGAATAGTATGGAAGAGTGGGTGTTTAAGTTTAGTTGTATCACCTTCCATTATTCAGCACACAGCTGTTATTGAATGCACCGTGACTTGGCAAAGACTTGCACCTCTATTCATCAGTGTTGGTTGAAGCTACCTAATGATGTGAAATTCTTGTGACACTTTATGGTTTCTTTCTGCCCTCACAACGTAATTCTTGTATTATACCTTTGGGATATCATAACTATTTTCATTTGTTGCTACCTCCCAATACCGGCCTACCAGCTATTCATTGTTCTACACAATAAATTAGGCACACACAGTCACTTAGCCTCAAATAATTAGGCAAAACAGTGATAATGACAGGTTGATAGTGAAGTATCGTGATTTAGAGAATTACTAGTCTTTATCTTTCTGTCCATTTGTGAGAATTGAGAAAGTGGGGCATATGATTGGGATACCTTACTCTCTCTAACCTCCTTCCCCCACAAATGCCATTTCTTTGACTCAAGTCTCTCTCCGTTTATCTTATTCTTATTCTTATTTTTTAATATCCTCTTCGGATATATACTTCCAAGTTCCAATCAACGACAATATCCATGAGAAATTTTATATATCAAGTAGCTTCAATATTCTGATCAGGTTATTCACATAATAATCAAATCTGAATGTTATGATTCTTTTTATTAAATAAAAAAAACACTATTGATTACTGCATCCTGCCTTAATGAGGATGGTTGGTGGGTTTAATTTCACTCTCACTCTCGAAACATGCATGAGTTGCCTTAGCCAGATCACTGTTGACTGAGTATACCTTAGACATGTTATCCCTGATTTCAATACTAATATTTTTTTAATAAGGAATTTTTATTAGTCTAATTAAAGCATTGTCTTTAAAAAAATAAAATTGAATCGACCTGGGATATCCATGGAATTAACAGAAAAAGAAAAATAGTGCATGCTAAACCTACTCACCCCACCTCTAGATTTGAGAGTAAGCGAGACAATGATGCAGCAGGTGAACCAGGTTCATTACAGTAGGCAGTAGGCACTGCATTAAATAGATTTTACATAAATTATTCAGACACAACCAATTGATTGTATATCATCGTTGCTATTTTACCAGCACAATGACATTGTCATTATTGGATAGGCCACAAACTACCCTTGAACAAATGAAATTCGATCATGTTAGCTGCAGAGATGTTTTCTTATTGCGGACATTGTATGATTGTTCCTTTTTCCAGGCTTCAATCAATTAAGGACATTCTCTCCCTCATCTGTTTTCATTTTTCATTCGCTAGATAACAAAACCATTGGCCACATTCATTACATATGTATAAAAAAAAATTACCCATTTCATTTGTTAGATATATATCACATTGATCTAATTGATCACCGGAGATAATCGATTTCCAACCAAAAATAATAATAAAGTCACATATTAAAAAAATAATGAAATATTTTGTGTTAAAAATAAGAACTTAAATTTATAATATAAAGATTGAATAATTTTACAATCTATAAATGATTAGATATTTTAGATTATGATACTAAAAAGATGTGTGAATGATAAATGCATACGGTAATTCAATAATGTACAAAATATTTGTATACTTTGGGGTTTATTTTAATCGCAAATCTTGTGTCAATCATAATATTGATTACGTCGAATCAGGATACCAAAAGCAGTGTTTCATGGGATTTCATTTACCAAATGTAAGAATCCAACCAAATCGCATCGAGATTTCATGATGCAAAGGCAACTATGGCGCTCTCTGCACGTTAGCATGCTAAAAAAAGTTTTGGGCCCTTGGTATCCAGTAGAGTCAGTATCTATATAAAGCATCTTTTGAAATGAATCGAAGGTGAAACCCGTCAAATTGTCAAATAACAGTTAACCAAAATAATCTTTGAATTGGAGTGTTCACAAATCACAATTCAATCGTTTTTTATTAATCAGCTCTGTGTTTAGACATGCGATAGAATTCAGTGAACGCACTGAAGTTACTTTGTATAGCGCAGGAAAAAAACGCACACATCTACCATAAATCCACGGGGAACTAAATACACACTCTATCAAGTAAAAATTAAAAATAAATAACACTTTCAAATATTTTTTGTTGACATTTATCTTAGCATCACCCGTGAGAATTCATTACCAAAAGACCCTAAACCATAACCCAATGCCCAGACAATGCAAACTTCCGAAAAGGGCAAATACTTTTATCTAAATCTTATGGGGGACCGGCTATCGCACTTGATTAAACTTTGCATTAATGCATCAATAACTATATGTATATTCGTTTCCCTTTCAACAAAATAAAAGTAATAGTCATGATCAGCATTGAAGAAAAAATCATTCATGAAAACATGGGTTTGAAAAGGCTTCTTCAATAAGAAAACTTGCTAATTAGTCTACTTAACTCGTAAAATCAAACCAATGAAAAATCAGTCAAGACTCAATAACTAATTAAACCAGTGAAGAATTGGTTGAACCAATTTAGATTTTTTTTAAATGAAATATTAGCCCATAAGACACGAAATAGTTTGAAATATTCTCATGTTTATACTTTTTATAAACTATAATTATCAACGTTTTATGAATGTTATGACTATTGTTTAGTTTAGTATGCAGATGTTATATATATCTTGACTACTTCGAGTTTGGAGAACATTTTTGAATTATACAAAAATACTAGTTATTACGATTAAGACTTGTTAGTAGTTGGGTTCATGATTTGTTTTTTACTGTATAATATACGAATTATACAAGTAATAAAGTAAAAAGTAAAAATTCTGTTTTCTCACCATGAAAAAAAGAAGCAATTTCTAATTAAGCAAATATCAAAGGAAGTAGATTTATTTGATGGATGCCTCTTATTAGGGGAACTTGAGTCAGTAAATCACGGATGTTATTTTACAAAGAATTGTGTTTGTAAGTTGTGTTCGATTAAAAACGAAAATAATATAATATTTTATGTAAGGATAATAATTTTATATTAAAATTTATTACTAACTTATGAAATAAAAATTTACAAATATATATCAATTACTTCAATTTTCATTTTAATCAAGATAATATAAAAACATTAACATTATCCAAAATAAAATTCATAGAGGCTAATTCAAACAAACTAAATGTACAAAAAATTCTATAGCAACTTCTAGTGGCTGTGACGAGTATAATAACTGCAGATTTCTTCATAAAACGGCGCTGACATCACGACGAAACAATGCCCAAACTACTTAAAAATAGATAAAACTTTTCTGTCAGTATTTCATTTAATTTTTCACCCAATTAAATTGGGTGCTGACTGTCAATTTAAACAAGCAAACTGCCTTGAGGAAATGTCAGACTGGCCAAGCGTTGAATTTGAAGCATACCTGATCATTTCTCACCAATATTCAAATTATGTTCTGGAATTCACAAGAGACGAAACATGAAAATGGGAAAGGATAATATAATTAGAAATGATTTCATTCCAACACGAGAAGACTCGAGAAGAATCTTTCTCACCATCAAGAAGAAGAATCTTTCTCCATCTAAGCAGGTCAAACAGTTGGAACCTTCATGCTTCAGTTCCCCAAAAGATTTCTTCAAAAACCTGCTAACAGGACCCTAACCTCCAAAGATAAAAATGCTACAAGTGTGACACAGTTACAGTACCCTGACATTTAAAATTACGTGCGAGAGGAGTTAGAGAACTTTCAAAATTCTATTATCCTCTATTTTTAATAACTCCTAAATAAGGGTAATTTTATAAAATAAAATAAAACCCCACCCCCCCCCCTTCCTTTTCTCCCTAAATTAAACTCGCAAGCCTAAATGATGTGCACCTTGGTTCCCATGCAAAGGTATTCCTTGCCCAAGAGCCTTGGCTCGAGCAGCATCAAAGTCTCTTTGAGGACTATTAATGCTGAAACTGAATCACATTGAAGCCGGTTTACCACCTTGGTTCCCACATCAAAATGGAGAAATAAATGAAATATTTATTGAAATAAAAACCAGGAAGTGCAGAATATATAATATCTTTGTTGCCAATGACTACTCAAAAACACAATTCCCAAGATGAGACAGTATGAATGAACAGTACCAAAACCTGAAATTCTGTCTACACAGTCATTAAAGTGCATCATTGACTACAACAGGCAACAATTTTCACTAGTAAAAATGTTATCAAACATTTTAAATTTTGTCTGTTCAATTGGTGATTGATCCAAATTCCAAAGGTTCAGAGCTTTTAAACTCTTGCCCTCTTGCTACTGCAGCTTGGGCATTTGTATTGCTTGATGTGCTCAGCCTTAGCAGGAGTAATTTTAACACATTTACCATGGAACCATCTCTCACACATATCACAACAGATCCAGAATTCATCATTGCCATAATTATCACCGCAGGCACCACATGTTGCACCTTGTTCATCCTCCTCCTCGTCCTCTTCTTCTCCACTCTCATCCTCTTCTTTGGGTGATATCTTCATTCCTTTGGTCGAAGACTCAGACTGACGAGACTGTTAATAAGAACCATCCAAAACAGGAAGACCGAAGTGACTTTCCACAAAAGGGCAGTGATAGAAACATAAACAAAGAAATGATTGAAAACTTCATACCACCTTTCCACTTGATTTGCATTTGCTACCATTGTTGTGAGCAGCCTGTTGGTCCTTTGATTGCTTAGCACTTCCTGTCACAAGTTCGAAGATAGTTGGCAGATCATTTATCATCTGAAAAAGCCTTTTCCTGCAAATATCCATTTGAACCAAATCAGAAGAACCTCCTAAATATGATATCATAAATGAACTTTGAACCCAACATTCTCAAGATGTCTAACAATATACCATTTTTTCTGGGGTTCTTGAGAAATATGGCTGATTCATTTTTGTCTTTTTACCCTCCCTACCCCAATATTTTTGTGAAAGAGATATGATCTCTCCCAAATCTTCAGTATTATTCAATCAGACTAATTTTGTACTAAATTGAGATATTCAATTGGGTCACTGTCAACCGTATGGTGAAAAAGGGATTCAATTGGAGACTCAAATATACTCTAGAAGATAAGTAAATGATCTTTGTTAAAATATATAGAAACTATTCAATAATATTGTGATTGCATCTAAGAATAATTTAATGTCCCATAAATTATCTTTCAGGATCAGTGTCCATAATGTTTTACATTTCATTGTTGTTTGCTTATTACATTTCTCACCATCACATACTCCAAAGCTTGTGTTTCCCCTTCAATGCTACTTGAACCTAACACTAAATCCCTAATCAATTGAAAAAAATAATTTTAAAATAGGGAAAAAATAATCATACATTCACAATTTTAATGAAAAGAGTATTTACTCCCGGAGGACTGATTTTTTTTCCCCCCAAAATTGGAGGGAATACTTTTGTTATAAGAACTAAAACCAACATTAGCTTATCTTTTAGCACAAAAGCATGTGATAAATAAAGAAAAATGATATTTATACACTCACTATGTGTATATACCCAATGTGAGATAGGAAGAAGAGAGAGATTAGTGAAAAATGTGATAAGTGAAGTGATGTGACAAGAAGAGACAGATAAGGAGAAAAATGAGGTGGAGGTACTGTGTATAGGTGTATGAATAACATATAATGCATAAATAATTTAGCTTAGCCACATATACATGATGACATAACCATAGTTGTCAATTGTGCGCAATTGTGACGCAGTAGCGGTGGTGCTTGGTGGAGTAGCCTTCGGCCACAACAGATCTGGCATAGCGGCGCGTTTTTTATGTTGCAGCCATCGTGACCAATGGTGGCTGTATTTGCATCCCAAAATGCGGCCATTTGTGGCGCAATAGTGCCATCACAAGGAAAGATATTAACTTTCCTTTTCTACCCTCAAAATGAAGGAATTTTAGGGTTGCTTTAAGGCTAAAAGGGACTTTTAATATTTAATAAATAAGCTAATTTTCCCTTTTTACCCTTATGATGACACAATATTTAGGTTTTTTTAAGGGCAATAGTCTTCTCAGTTTTCAGACCTAACCTCACTTTCTCCTGGGTTTTTTTCTTCCTTTTTCTTTTCGTCACCCCCTCCTCTCATCTCTAGTGCTGTTATGCTTTGCAACTAGAGACACATGACAAAACCCCACTTTTTCTACCCTGTTTTCTTATCCTCCTTCTCTGTTCAACTCTCCCTCCTCCCATCTTTGTCTCTGTTCTACTTTGCAACAATCTCCAATACAGCAGAGCCACTCATCTAGGATGACTTCTATGGCAAAAGCCACTTCCTTTCTTCTCTCTATTCTATGATTTTACAGTCCTGCCTCTGTTATGTTATGCTATTTATGCATATTTGTTTAGCATTATTATATACATAATTATCTACATATGAATATATTTTATATCAATATAAAAAACTTTAAAATAGCAATAATTCTGCTATGCACTTGCCCACGATAGCGTTTTGTGGGTCGTCCGCTACACCACGCTATCTGAGATTAACAATTATGGACATAACAATCCTTTATAACATCACCGCTTAATAGATTTCTTATAACATTATGGACAAAATGTAAAAATTTCAATAAAAAATAGAAATCATACGGAAAAAATTAGGGACTAAAACCAAAGAATGGGTAATTTTATAGGGATGAAAAAACCTATTTAAGCCAAAATTTGTTTAATAGAGGATCACTAAGAAAATACACTATGCCAAACTATCAACCTATTCAGTTATTTACTTATTCTATTCAAAAAATAATATCGATTTCCCATAACCTGAAACTCAAAATTCCATTCATACCTTATTGTTATATCACCAGTCACCACAAACTAACCAAAAATATATAATATAACTTTCACATTCAAGAAAAAGACAAAAACGAGTTTAATCCTATATATTAACCAATAATATATCACCAACTCCCAAGTTTTCACACTTGACGGTGAACAAGTTGAAACCTCAGAAAGTTTCAAGTTACATGACATGAAGCAAAATAGTGCAAGCAACAGAAACTAAAACTGAAAGTGGACAAATATTATAAAAAGAGAAGCCAAGCCAACAAAAAAGAAGATGTTCTTCAATTACAAATTTAATGAATAGATATATTATTTTTACTGTTAAAAAATTTATCAAGATATAAGATACATATAGTTATTGCACATGAAAGGGTAGATTTGCAACGAAGTATGCAAGTGATGTATCTTATATCAGTATGTAAATCTCACATTTCTTTCTCATGCAAATGTGATATATAAGCAATATGAGCACAAACATGTCAATTCAGTATGTAAAAGGACAATATTAAGTCACATTTGGAGACAAGTGATCAATTGATAAAATAATTTTTGAGGGAATATATTGAATTAAAATTAAAGTGTCAGGAACCAAAAAACAAAATTAATAAATAGAAAAGGTGGAATATCTTGCATGTGTATTTTCTAAACTATTCCATCAACAGTATGCTCTTCCTGCAGAGTTGAAAACTAATATTAAGTGCCCACACACAGAAACCTAGTTTTTCCTTTGGTTTAGTGTTTTGAGTGGAAAACAACACTTTTAGCACCAAGCCATCAATGAGTACACACAAAACAATAAGAAATTACATAAATTGCAATCTATAGAGAACAGGATTCTTACCTTTCATTCTTACCAAATCCAAAGCGGGCACCAAAATAGAAAGCAACGGCAAGCAGCCATGAGTCACTGTGAACTGCAACCAGTGATAACCAGTCCTTCTCTTGCATGCCATCCCTAGCAAAGTTTATACCTAATGCTGGCTCAGGAAGTTCAGGAGGCACTTCCTCAACGGGCAAATTCACTTCCCATGTTTCATTTGGAAACCCATATAGACACAAATTCTCCTTCTCTACAATGAGAACAACATATTATTAACAAGTGACAGATTGCACATAGCACTTCAAAGAAACTTATTCTGAGTTCTTCCTGTTTGGAACATTATGAAGGGCAAATTACGTAAATTTCTTTTATAACCAGTCAGATATGTCTAATTCAAATCAATTTTTTTATTGTTGATATTGGATTTTGACATAGTAATTTATCTGTAAAGGATAGATTTGCAGCGAAGTATTCAAACCAATACCTTGCTCGCATTCTCTTCTTTTCTGTTCCCACTATTTAACCATTAATTACTTAACTAACAACTTCCAATTGTCATGAAGCCAAAGAAAACGATAAGCCATTAAGTCTGATTGGACAGAGTGACAAGCATTCAACCTTGCAGATGTAATGGTTACAAATAATGATAACTAACGAGGGTAAAGCAACACAAATGGGGATCAATCAAATGTTAGAACCACTACAGACAAACCAGACCTTCACTTGTACTGTTGATTAATTATTGAAAGAACGGTCAACATCAATTCAAGAGAGGATACAGAAAAAAAAAAAAAAAAAAAAGGAAGGAAGGACACACCAGGATCGCAGAGCTGGTAAAACTTTTCAACGTCTGCAACAACAAAAGAAGAATTGAGTAAACAGAAGACTAATAAAAACGAGAGAGAGAGAGAGAGAGAAGAAAAAGAGTACCGGTAGTGAGAGCCTTAATCAAACCAGCACGTCTACCCTTAAAGTCGCTGAAAACTTCTTCCACTGTTCTTGGGATAGGGTGCGGTATTCCTTCCATCCTCTCTCTCTCTCTCTCTCTGTGTCTCTGCTAAACAATTTAAATTATTGACCCACACCAAGATTTTGGATTCAACGAGGTTTTTTCTTCTTTCTTTGGGTAATGAACCGTTATTGGCTAGGGTTTTCTTTTTTCCCTACTGGAAATAGGGAAAGGGGTAGATGGTGGTGCTTATGTCCGAATTTAAATATGAAGCTTAGAAGAATGGAAATTGAAATAAGAAAGAAGCGTTAGAATTGAAATTTGGTGGAGCAGAGACTATATAAAGAGATGAGGTTCAAAGAACAATAACGTAACAGGGTTCTGCCCCGGACATTATTATTATCACTTCTCTTCCTTTGCCTTAACAATACCTTCCTTTTCTCCTATTTATTTTAATTATTCAATACTTGTTTCAAAAGTAAATAATTATAAAGGAATAATTTTTTATTTTAAAGAAATTTATTTTAATTCAGTATCTTTTCAAAAATATAAATTAATAAATTAATTACTTTTTTATTAAAAGATGTACAATATTTTATTCTAAAAATGAAAAAATTATCCTCCTCTCTTCTTAAAAATAATCTTTCAATTAATTTTGTGAAACTTTGTTAACCGATTTCTTAACATGTTAGTTAATAAGTTAATAAAAAAAACTATTAGAAAAACACATTTAATAAATCATAAAGCACAAATATAATGCATTAATAATATTTTAATAAAAATATTTTTATTTTTCAACTAATATTTTAAAAAATTATTATAAAAATAAATAAAATTCATCTCATAAATTAAAAATAATTATTTTTAAATTTTTAAAGAAATTAAATATTTTCTTAAAATAGACAACATAAATTAATTTTTACTGATAAAGAAATTATTCTATTTTATTACTTAATTTTTAATATATAAAAATCAAGAAAAATGTTCAAATTTTAATTAAAAAATTTTAACAATCATAAAATAATTCTTATTATAGTATTTTTTTTCCTCACAATCACATCTTTTTTTAACCAAAAATCCATCTTATTTTTAAATATATTTTATCACCTAAACTTAATATGTTAGTTTAAATGAAAATTTCAAATGTTGGAAAATATATAAATTATTAAAATGATTAAACATTTAAAAAATAAATTGATAAGGAATGTATCTTATGACTCGTTGTTATATATATTTATTTATTATTATTTGCATTATTTGCAATCCGACGTTTCTGTTTTGTGTTACTAGGGCTGGGCTGGATCAATCATTCAACGTGCACTGATTTGATAATATTTAAGTTAAAATTGAAGATTGAATGAGGTTTGCAAAGGTTTCATTTACCGTTAGCTTACACGCAGAACTGGGAGGAACAGAGAGCACTGCGGAGTAAGCACCTTAGCTTAGACCAGATTGTTACCCTTCCTGTTTTGTGCGTCTATTACTTCTATTTCTACACGATGCTATCCGTCTTAAATTCGCTCTATCCACTTCTATTTTTTCGTGTTCAATGTGTTTGTTGAAATGCTCGTTGAACTCATTTAGTCAAATCACTGACTTGTAAAAAACTGAAATTTTTGTTTGTATTAGTAGTAGTATAACAAAAATAGAATTAAATATTGGTGAAGTAATATGCTGTTGAACAAAGGTTGCATTTGAGGTTCTTATTCACAAGCTATAACAATAATCATGGAGTGCACAGTTTGCTTTGTTGGGTGAAATTGAGTCCGGAAATTAAAAAGTATGGGGTATACAGTTCCTAGTCAACCATTTTCTTTCTTTCTTACTGTTTTTCTTATTTTGATTACATCAAAATCCTTCTTGGCTTGCAATTTTCGGAATATGCTCTCATGCCCTGCCTTAGGTATGATTAATCAATGTCTCAGACTACAAAAGTTGTTTGCCTCTGATTTGGAACCCCATGAAGGAATGTGGCAACTAGCAAGGTAGGGGGAGCCATGCGGACCCCAAGTGTTAAATAAATATATTGGACTTGGACGCTTGAGGAACTTGTATGATGACCAAAAATTTATTTTGTGATGGATGGTTTAAGTCATGATTTGATTGTTGAGTTAAACCTTTCTAGAAATTTCAAAATCTATTATTCTGAAAATTAGTTGCCTTGGGTGGTATAGGAATGCCTCAGCTTGTAATGGAACTTTGTCATTTGAAATCAACATGACTTTGTACAACTGTAGGTTTTAGTTAATATCATGGTGTGCTCTTTTTACTGATTTGCAAGTTAGCCTTCAAAATATTTTAAATGGAAAGGAAAACAGTATTTTTCTTATTGTCATATTTTAAATTCTTTGGAAGAGTAGCATGTAAGGCTTTAATTCAAAAAAAAAAATTGAGAATTGTATTTCTTCTTTGTTCATTACCAGCTTCTGTTTGACATATGAACTGACTTTGCTAAATTGAAATCCTGACAGTCTAGGATTGTGGCTGCTTAATTTTAGTTGTAGGTAATCAAATTGCAGAAAAATAGTCCCGTTTTAAAGATAAGAGAAAGGGTTTTGTGGTTAAAATTTCATGATTTTAGGACTTCCTAATTAATGCCCATTTCTGTTTGAAACAGAAGGAATTTGCAGGGTGAGATATGGTTTTTGAAATTCACTTAGCTACATAGGCTAGCATGAGGGATCAAATGATCTGGATCCGGAGGTTTATTCATTTCCACAAACTCACTTGTAACTTCCTTCATCTCTGGTTCCTCCTTTCATTTCCTTTTGCTTCACAATATATGCACAACTATGAACTCTCTTCACCAAACAAAATTTCTCTCTCTCTCTCTATCTCTGCGGTTGCAGCAGCACATTTGGATGTCACGTCGAGGGGATTTTGCACCCTCACTGCACCTCTTGATTTTACTCAAATTCAAATTTCTCGCCTCCCCACTGTCATCATTCTTGGGCGACCTAACGTAGGCAAGTCTGCATTGTTCAATCGGTGAGTTATTGAAAAACACACACACACTCGCACATGTGTTGATGCTTGCTTAGTCATAGTTACCCAGCCAACTATTAATTATCATTGGTTTTAGTCTAATTCGGAGGAGAGAGGCTCTGGTATATAATACCCCTGATGATCATGTTACCCGTGACATACGAGAAGGAGTTGCCAAGTTGGGTGACTTACGATTCAGGGTCTTGGACTCTGCCGGCTTGGAAGCTGAAGCTTCTTCTGGTTCTATCCTCCACAGAACTGCTTCCATCACTGTAAACGTATTAGCAAGGTCTCACTTTGCACTGTTCCTCACTGATGCAAGGTTTGTTTCCAATTTTCTATAGTGGACACATACCATGCTTTCCTCTCACTATGCCTTTAGGCCAGCCAGAGAGACACCTTTGTCACTATTCAATGCTGCTTTTTACTCAATATGGGATAGAATGAATGAATTTACATATGTTAGATGGATGTTATGTATGTCTATCCCTCAATATGATTTACTAATGTGAGCCATTCTGTTTGTGTTCCTTTGAGTGGTCATCAGAGCCGGACTTCATCCTCTTGACCTGGAGGTTGGAAAATGGTTGCGCAAACATGCACCTCAAATCAAACCTATTGTTGCCATGAATAAATCTGAATCTCTGTTTAATGATAGTGGCTCTCTTGCTTCAGCTGCTAATGAAATGTGCCGGTTGGGATTTGGGGATCCTGTTGCCATATCTGCTGAGACTGGACTTGGTATGCCTGACTTGTATAGGTCTCTTAGGCCCCTCCTGGAGGACTATATGCTTCGTGTCTTGAATGGTAAGGGATATGTCATTCGCCAATGAAATAATGATAACCACAAACTATATGCTCACTTATTATACAATTGATAAACTTTTATCAATTTGGGTTCATGATGGTAGGGTTTGATAAACTAATTATTTGTTAATGAATTTTTTTGTGATCACTCAAGGAGAAAGATCATGCAAGTTTGAACTTATCTACAATATCTTTAATTTTGCAGTTACTTTGCTGTCTAATCTCTTATTCTAATTCTGCATTCGATTGTCACTAATCATAGATGAAGGTGCTCAAGATAATAGCTACAACGAGGATAGTAGCTTCCTTGATGTTGACAAAAGTAAGCTGCCATTGCAGTTAGCCATTGTAGGACGCCCCAATGTTGGTAAATCAACCTTGTTGAATGCATTGTTGCTAGAAGATCGTGTTCTTGTGGGTCCTGAAGCTGGTCTAACAAGGGATTCAATCAGAACTGAGTTTGAGTTTCAAGGAAGAACAATTTATCTGGTAAATATCTATGAATGTTTTGGTTCTGGACTTCTGGTATTATTGATAGAGATATAAGTAGGTATGTTGCTTGTAAGAGGGAAACATTAAAGTTATTTGCTTCTCTGACTTTCAAGTTAGATGATACTGACATACACTTCTTTTCCATTCATGTATGCATACAAGCACCTGTACATGTATCTCTTGTTCTAAAATGCAGTCTTAAAAATATGCAAATCAGCAAGATCTCTTTAAAGTTCATATAAAATATATTGTCATAATAACTATGACACAATTTTGTCCGGGGATCATGATCAACTCGATATCAACTTGCTATAACTCTGATTTTCCTTTAATTCTTTAATCTTTATTCTTGGTACGTTAATTGTATACAGTATACTAAATTGTCTGAACATGACGCTTAGCACGGTTGTAAGCGTCCAAACTTATAGTTTGACAGAGGGTACTTAATAGGCATGCTGAATATGTTTTGCTTCAAGGGTAATAAAGTAGAAGTAAACATTTAATATTGAAATTTCAGTTACATTTTATAACTATATAATCTTATTTTGCTGTCATTCAGGTTGATACTGCTGGTTGGTTACAGAGGACAAAACAGGAGAAAGGAGCAGCATCCTTGAGCATTATGCAATCAAGAAAGAGTCTACTCCGAGCTCATATAATTGCTTTGGTACTAGATGCAGAAGAGGTATATCTGCTACAAGTATTGAACTTTTGGATAACCACACAACTGTGATATTATACATAACAATTTTTTAGCATGTAAAATTGCAATTTCTTGAATATTATTCCAATTTAGTTCACATATTTCAATTAATGAAACTCAAATTTGAGCCTATTAAAATATAATTGTTCTGGTAATTCATTTATTGGGGAGGAAATGTTGAATTTGTTACTTAGGTTTGCTAATTTTGGTTTGAAATACTTCTTTGAAGATTCCCTAGTGCATGTGCGGCATGTTCTCTTTTAGGACAGCAACTGCATCTTATTTCATCCCTCTCTATTTTGCATATCCCTTTTAGGATCTGGATACTCTACAGTTAATTTTTCCTACAGTCATTGGAGTCAGTAATCTCAACCATTAATTATATTTTTTAAAAATAAAATATTAATAAAATAATGTAATTAAAGAGAATGAATGTTGAAAGATGAGACTGCACATCCTGCAGTCATTTTGCAGGGGATCCACATTCCGCCTTTTATTAAGCCTGTCAATTGTGATGGCCTTGGTTCATGAATGACTATGAAGCACATGGAAGTGTGCAGAACATCCTCTTATAACAGCATGATAAACAGAATGATTTTTCCTCCCATCTCCCTTTCTGTAGTTACTTATTAGATTTTGTTTTTTGGATAATAAGAAAATGTAATTACATTTTGTATTGATAAGTTTTTTTAATTGAAAGAATCTATATTAACTAGATTGTGAATGCAAGACGAAGTATGAAACATGCTGAAGTAGTTATAGCCAGACGAGCAGTGGAAGAGGGACGGGGTTTGGTTGTGATTGTGAACAAGATGGATCTTTTAAGGGGCAAACACAAATCATCATCCTATGAGAAGGTTATGGAAATTGTTCCACAAGAAATTCAAACAATTATACCTCAGGTTTGTCAATGAATAATAAGCTCAACTTTAAGTCTTGCTGTTCAAACAATTGGACTGTCGCACGTCTTGCTTTTAAGTGTTATATCTTTAACATGGATTTCAAAATTATGTGTTTGGACATGATGTCAATATTGGTCATGGTTGAAACTTGAGAAAATATCTGTGAGGCTGCCAACTTATCATACAGTCCTTACCATTTTCTTTCTTTGCTTTTCAGGGCATGACTAACAAATTTTACTAATTGTATGGGTTGTGATTTAGCATTGGATTTTGGCATTCAACAGGTAACAGGAATACCGGTTGTATTCATTTCAGCATTGGAGGGACGGGGTCGAACTGCTGTCTTGCATCAGGTCATTGACACGTATGAAAAATGGTGTTCAAGGTTACCTACTGCTCGTCTTAACCGTTGGTTGCAGAAGGTAATTACTCCATCATCACTTTCTGTTGTAACAGTAAAATATGCACTTGGTAGTAAATTTGCTTTCGTATTTCTCTCTTACATTGGTTTTGATCAGGTTATGAGCAGGCATTCATGGAAGGACCAAGCAGCACAGCCTAAGCTAAAGTACTTCACTCAGGTCAAGGCCCGGCCACCTACATTTGTTGCGTTTGTGCGTGGGAAGACTCAACTTTCTGATACAGACATTAGGTTCTTAACGAAGTCATTGAAGGAGGACTTCGATTTGGGTGGAATTCCTATACGGATAATGCAACGTTCTGTCACTAAGAAAGATGCTAGAGGAACTGGCAAGAGTAGCCATTCCGCAAGCACTGGCAGAGTGACTGAAAGGGTCGTGTCTGACAAGAGAAGCGTCTTAGTTGAATAACAAATTTGATTTTTCACTAAAGGACAGGAGCATCATTCCGCAAAAAATTGCAAAAATGAGATTAGAGTCTAGTTAGATGCTTAGAGTAACTTAACTGTAATTTTATTGGCAGTTCAGAGGAGCTTGATTATTTATTATTATTATAACAATATAATATAATATATGTTAATAATATAGGATGTGACAGTCCGGTTGCGTGAACTTTTTTAATTGGTTCTAGTCCTTTACTTGGATGATAATTGAAATGATGTCAATCAATCAAAATTTCAACAGTGATCAAAATTTTCATTACGGTGAGATAAAAAGTGGGGAGGGAGAACGAGAGAATACCATGAGAATCCAATCCACCCACCGAGGAATCTATTTAGAGACCAAAATGATTAACTTCAAAAAGGGGACCAAATGAAGCTCCACAGACTTAGTTACCTCAATCAATCATTGTGGTTGTGGGCACTGCACCACATGCTTTTTAAATTTTATTCGATGAAAAGATTAGATTGTATGTAACACCTCGTAAGTCTAATCATTATTTTGAATGGCTCAACAACGCACAGTGAATCTAAACATTGATTATTCCCTGAGAATGGCAATAATATCACAAAAATTAGCGTCATCATCGGATATAAATTACAAATCCCGACAACTCATCGAAATAAAAGGGACAGACTCCTACACGACACGATGAACTTTCCGCTTATTTTGTGAAGTGAACCAAAAATCAGCAAACCGTGTATGTGGGAGCTTTTTGCATGAGATCAATTGATTAATTTTTATAAAACTATATTTACAATAATTTAATATAAAAAGTGAATTTGATCAATTCAATCTTTAAATTTCAATTTTTCTTAATTTAAATCTAATTTCCAAAACTTTATAATTTGAAGTTAATCAATACATTGTTCTATTACTTTATTTCAATATTTAATATATTAGGAAGACAAAATTATCATTATATTACATGTTTATAATTATCACACTTATACGCATAGGATGATTAAGATAATATCATATAATTTAATGATTGGATTAATATTTTTTTATAAAGTGTTGATTAAAAGTATAATTTTACAGATAATTTATTAATTAGTATCAACTGATTCTATCATATATTTTCTATAAAAAAAAAAAGAAGGTATATATAATTTTTTAAAAAATGAGGAAGGGAGAGGCTAAAGTGGTAGATCCACCCATACCTCTGAAATTAAAAACAAATAAGCTATACGACATTTTAAAGAAAATATTATCGTTTATAATGATCTGGACGAAGGCGAAAAAGCATAGATTTAGTTTCATCAAAAGGCATAATAATAAGACAATGACTTGTGCTAACATAATGCAAAGAATGAATCAATTATATGAACAAAAGATACATCAAAAATTTATTTCGGAAGATGATATGGTGGACGAAAGGCCTCAAAAAGGGAAGAAAAATTTGCAGCGAAAGAAAGCATGGATGGAATTAAAAATTTGTAAAGCTAACTTAATGCTTCCCCTGGGCCTGATATCCCCATGGGTTGTTGCTTGCCCAATTCCATTGGTCCCTACACATCTCCTCTATGCCATATTTTGCCTTCCAACCCAGTTCTTTCTCTGCTTTCTCTGTGGATGCATAGACAGCAGTGGCATCTCCCGCCCTCCTCGGACACATTTTTATTGGAATTTTCTGGAAAAGGGAAGAGTCAGAATATGTTTTCCAAATACATACATACATACATGTACAGATACAGATGCAAAATCACCTTGCCCGAAGCTTTTTCAAATGCAGCAACCATTTCAAGGACGGAGGTGCCCCGACCAGTTCCCAAGTTATATGCAGTACAACCTAAGGAGGGAACAAATATCAGAATTACATTAATTTAAATAACAACAAAAAAAGGCATTAATTGATAATTAAGGGAGGAACCGATGTTGTCAGTGGCAAAAAGCTTTCGCAGGGCAGCAATGTGACCATCTGCCAAGTCCATGACATGGATATAATCCCGGATCTGACAATTAAATTAAAGTTGTATTAGTCAGTGGTTGATTTAACGGAGGAGGTTGGGTTAAGGTTGTCTAACCGCGGTGCCATCTTTGGTGGGATAATCGTGACCGTAAATGTTGAGCTGGGGCAATCTTCCGACAGCGACTTGTTGAATGTAAGGCATGAGGTTGTTGGGAATCCCTCTTGGATCTTCCCCTATCTGACCGCTGTCATGGGCCCCAACTGGGTTGAAGTATCTCAGCAGAATTATCCTCCATTCTCCCTCTGCCCTCTCTATGTCTCGGGCTATTTCTTCAACGAACAACTGCACACATATAAACGCTGCGTTTTAATTCAAACATCTACTACCTAGTACCTCCTACCTCCTACCTCCTACCGCCTCCTACCTTGGTTCTCCCATAGGGATTCATAGCGTGTAATTCCATGTCCTCCACACACGGAATTTTATCCGGTTGCCCATAAACAGTGGCCGATGAGGAGATTACTATCTGTTTCAGTAATACAAGTACATAAATGAAGATGAAGTAGTAATAAATGTAGGCGTAGTAGGAGAGCGGCATGCATGGCATTGTTACCTTTTTACAGTTAAATTTGGCCATAACTTGAAAGAGGTTGATGGTGCCCACCAAGTTGTTGTCAAAATAACGGCGGGGCTTAGCCACGCTTTCTCCAACGCCTTTCAGCCCCGCAAAGTGGATCACCGCATCGAACCTGACAATAATTAATAGCAGTGTGTCATTGTTATGTATACAGGTGAGATGAGAAGATGGAAATGAAGGCAGTTAACAGTGTACTTGGTTTTGGAGAAGAGTTTCTCCAAATCGTGGGTGTTGCGGAGATCGCCGTGGTGGAAGAAGAGGTTGTTGGAAAGGTGAGGACCCACCAAGCGGCGAACCCTGTGGACAGCTTCGATGAGGGAGTTGTCGAGATTGTCGATGATGGAGACCCTGAAACCCTGTTTCAGAAGCTGAACCACCGTGTGGGATCCGATGAACCCCGCCCCACCCGTCACCAGAATCGTTGACATTGGGGACACCATCTTCCTCTTTCCTCTCCTTTCCTTTGCCCCCTCCCACTCCACCCATTATCATTTAATAAATACTCTCCCTCCTTCCCTTCTTTTTAATATGCATTTTTCATTTTCAATAAAAATAGTTACACACATACAACATTACAAGATCTTCTACAAATTTTAAAAACTTAAACATATTTTTAATTCTTATTTCATTACTTTTTTAAAAAAAATTCCTTAATAATATCGGCTCTATATATTTGTGTTACTTAAATATATTATTTTTTTATTAATGCTATTACATAAATAATTAATACATGACAATTTTTTTATTAATAATATCATCATTTAACAATTAAAAAAATTAAGCTGAAAATTCATAAAAAATATTTTTTAAAAACCAACTACATATATAAAGTGGTCACTTGAGAACGAATGAATGGAATTGGAAAGAGTTCAATGAAAAAAATATTTAATACAATGACTGAAATGCCATCAGTTGAGTGGGGAAAAATTATATAATATTGACATGTAAATGGGAAGGAACTTGAAAATATTAAATAGACAGATAGATACACATTTTTTTTTATATAAAAAATAAGATAAAAGGTGATAAATACAACAATGATTGTGTTAGAGCAATAATTCTAGAAGCTTGACATGTGAAATATGCAAAGAGGCTTTGCCACGTAGTAAAAAGCTGACTTTGCCAGTTGCCACTAAAACAATGGAAATATGCAATGAGGTTAGCTATAACATACTTGTCTTAATAAAACTTAATCAGTATATTACACTGTGAATTACATAATCTATTATTTGATTAAATGAATAGTCTCCATTTAATCACATAATTATGGATCACTAGATTCATAAACAAAAGGAGAAGAATCATATATGAACGATTGTGACTGTTTGATGAGTAGAGTCACTTGAAGTTTCTATACAAATTAAAAAGACACTTGTCCCCTTATGTCATATGCTACAGCTTACAACCCAAAATCCATCGTTTTCTTTCAAATTAATAATCCAAAAGCAACACTTGATCGCTTTGTGGTTTTAGAAAAGTTTATGGTAACTCATCCAACTAAGACGGCAGAACCTAATGTCTCATCATCGATGCAAGTGTTTGGATTCTACCTTTTAGGCTTCATCTTGTCCTTACCTGTAACGTTTCAAGCCTTGAATAGCATCCATTTCAAGCTATTTTCATATCGTTTCTGCTTCTTCATTAAGCTAAATTGTATATTTACCGTTTGGTGAGAGATCAATGAAAATTTTTGAATGAGCAATGAGGTTTTTGTTATTCAGTGCTAGAATGTTTAAGAAATACCATATATTATTGTATTTTAGAATATGATCTTGAAATAAAATTTGAAAAACACTCTTATGAGATTGTGAGATATTTTAAGCAACAACAATAACATTATGAAATGTTTTTAATATATTTTAACAATCAATACTATTTTGTGTACTCGGACTGAATGAGTATTTTAATTAAGTTTTATCTTACTTTAAAGATAAATTGTCGTGTTTAATTACTTAGATACCTATTCAGGGTCATTTTTGACTTTTTTAAGACTCTAGGCAAAATAGAAAATTAAGACCCTTTAAAAAAAATTATAAAATGTAATAAACAAAATAAAAGTATATATTAATAATTTTATTAAAATAATACTTTTTCTTAAGTAGTTATAATTTTTTCTAATAAAATTATAAATAAAATATTCTTTCATTCAACCAACTATTATATTATAATTAACTACAAAAATACAAAAGATCATAAAAAATAGGTTCTATGAGCATTTTGAGATACAAAATTATCAATGATAACATTAACATTAATGTTTTTTAAAAATTCTTTATCGATTGATAAAATTGTGAGACCATTCAATGGTTCTTATAACATTGATGGCCTTAGGTAGATTTTGATTAACTTTTACTTTAAAAAACTTCTTTCAGTTGATGATATAGTCACTGAGACTGTAAAAAAAAATTGATTAAAACATTTAAATAACAATCTGTAAATTTGACAAACTCAATAACTATTTAATTTTTTGGAGAAAACTAAAATTCTCCATGAGATTTAATGTTAAGAATAGTAAAATTTTAGAATTAAATGAAGTTTTGAGTTTACAAAGGTCAATAAGTCAACTACGTTTATAGCAAGTGAAGTGTGAGAAATTAAAAAAAAATAAATTATTTTTCTATTTTTTTCAACTGCCAACTGTAAGAACTAAAATTTTTTTTAAGTAAAAGTAGGACACGATTTTTTACTTTGAACTTAGGTCTTAGGCGATTGCACCTCTAAACTACCTTTAAAATTGGGCCAGTACCTATTGGCATCTTCTACAAGCTTTATTTTACTACATTTTCTGAAAATATTTTATACCCTTTATCTATGGTTTTGGGTACCTAATTTTGTACACATCTGACTTGGTTTTCGACGAAGAGAGATAAAGCAATTTAAGCTGTTGATAAGTTGAACAGATGGTGTTACTTTTCCTTGTAAGAAATGCACTCTCGCTTGCTTGCATAATGCAGTATTTTGTTTGCCCATCATATTCTGAATCTTATTTAATGGATTGGATGTTTTCTCAAATATATAAAAGCACCTTTTCTGCATACAAAACGATTGCAAATCTGTTTTTATTTTGTCATGATTGCAAAATATGAGTTTTTGGTCAACAAATCTATTTGGGCCTTTTGATCAATTGCAAATAAAAAACTATGTTTGATCAACAATAACAGTACTCTACGGGGCCTTTTAAAAGTAATATGTTTAATTCTATTAAAATGGGGTGCTCTGTTTTATTTGCACGCCAATTTAAAACCATAGTCCTAGATCGTATGATTTTCAAAGATTGAATGTAAGACATTTTTTAAACTAAATTACTCGTGATAAACTATATGACAATTTTTTAATATAAGTTACAGTATATAATGAAATAATATTTTTATCGAAGACTATAATATTTAATATCATTAATGCATTAAAATTACTGAAATTAGTCTTTTATTTTGAGAGATATAAAATGAAATATAAATGCCAAGCATATTATTTCTTGTCCCAAAATGTTTTATTATAAATTTTTAATCATAGGGCGTAATTAACAAACATTTTTAGTATATATGTTGATTTATTTTAAACAAATCTCAGAAGGAACGTACTCATCTTCCCTTAATAAAATATATTTTTAACTTTCAAATTGAATCTGACGTAGAAAGTAAAATTTAAAATAACACACTTTTCTATTCTCACGCCATACTTTTAGAGTAATGAATGTTCAAATACGACAAAGCTATTTTTATTTTTTATTTTACTAAAAACAAGTATTATTAAATTTATTATATCAATAACAATCATTAATTTTGTAGTGATTAATTTTGATAGATTGTTATAGTAAAAATCTCCGGGGAGTTTCAGAGACTGAACAAAACATAACTCTAAATTTGTTAGATGAACTAATATAAATATTTAGTATTTAATTTCTCTTTTTATTTTCAGAAGCCTCTATTTTAAAAAAATGTTAAAAAAAATATAAAATTCATAAAATTTATTGTCTATTTAGCTAATTAACCAATATTTAATTAACAATAATTTTTATCTTCATTTGTGAAGTCTTAAAAGAAAAAATATTCATTTCAATCTCTCCCTTCTTTTATTTTTCTGTTACATTCTTTTTCTTGTATCTTATATGGATAAAATATTTAGGCAAAAAAATATTAATATTTACATTACAGAATAAAAGTAAATTTATATTACTATATATATTATCAAAAAAATATTTACGTAACATATGAATTGAAAGTAAATACTTATATCAATGATATCTGAATTATAAGAGTAAGCATTAATATCACAAGGGAAACAAAAGCATTGTGTGTAAATGTATTCATATCATGCATCACAGTAGAAGTTATTAGTATTTAACTTGAAGGTTTAGAATTTTTTTTAATCATCAAACAAAAGGATATAGAAACTTTATTTAAAAGTATATTAATATTTAAATTAAATTTTTTAAATTATATAAAGATGAATACCTCACATGAATGTACAAAAAAAAAAAAAAATCTAATTTGTAAATTTATTCGTCACACAAGGATGAGAAAAACACAGACACGCAAGAGTAAGTTTTTAGACTATACGAGAATGCAAAATTTAATGTAAGTAAACCAATGTAAAAAAAGGACATAATTCTGAAATAATAAGAAAATATAAAAAGTAATCATTGTATACTTATTACTCTAAGAAACAGTTAAGACGACACTGTATTTTTTTACTATATATATATATATATATTATAAACTTCGCTTCTTTATTGATTTTTAATTAAATAAATTTCAAGAAAAAAATTATCAACTATTAAGTTTCTCACGTGTTGGATTGATATGTATTTTTTATTTAATTAAAAATTATAAATAAAAATAAGTAGAATAATATATAAGCAGTCTTGTGGCTTAATAAGTTTTTTCTTATATTAAGTATCTAAAAGATAAATAGTCAATATACTAGAAATCATGTAATTTAGGAAGGAAAAAGAATAACTTTTAATTTTTTTTAATTTAAGAGAAACGATTTAAATTTATAATATAAATTAAAAGTAAAAAAAAAAAAAACTTTTCCCTCTTGAAGTGCAACAAACTAAAGATAAAAGTTACAGCTAATGATAGTAGAATATTAAAAACATGAATATAAAAAATGAATCTTGAAAACATAAGAAATTTTTATAACTGATAAATTTATTGTTTTCTAAGGATTTTAGGACCAATATGTGATGTTAGACAACTATTTTGGCTCTTGCTTAACTCTTTGGATGAGGTGTCTCATAATATATTATTTACAAAGAACAAATATAACAAACTTTTAAAATAATTCTTTTATTTTTCTCTATCATATCATTTATTTCTTTCTTTTTTTATCTTTATTTGATTTGTAAAAAGAATACAACATAGTTTTTGTATAAATAACATTTTTCTTTTTCTTAGCTACTTAACAAATGGTACCAAAGTAAAGTCGAATTTCCAAACACTAGTGATGAAGAACAATTCTTCATAGCAGGGGAAAGGGAGATAAAAACCAAAAATAGGAAGGAAAAAAAAATTGATATACACTCCATAACTCCATTAGTGTCTATATTTAGTAAGAGATAAGAAGGAAAGACAACTGTGAAAAACGCGGTAAGTGTTATAATCAATATTATAAGAAGATATGAATAAAGAAAAATTAGTGGATTTTTATATACTGCACTGCAAGGTATTATTAAATTAAAATAATTTCTTAGGATAAAAAACTAAAGTTATATTATATCATTAAGTTTAAACTTAAATAATTTTTATAAAATTTTTAAAATGAATGTTTTAATAACTAATGATAAATATTGTATAATATTAAATAAGGTTAAATTATAAATAAAAATTTTGAAATAAAAAAATTATGAAAGTAATAAATTAAAATTAATTCAAGAACTAGACCTCACAATTTATATATAAAAGGAGATTAAATGAAAATATTGTATTCGTGTATACAAATCAAAACTCTTAAAACTAAAATGTGTTCTGATTGATATGATAAAGAAAAAAAGAGAGAAAGAGATTCAAAGATATATTAGATATTTTAAGATTCATGAACACATTAGCATCCATGATTATTTACCCTTGATTTCTGACTGTGATAAACTTTATTTTTACAACTCTATTTTTCTATATTCTAAAATTTGAATTTATCTAACATCGATATCTATTTTTCATTGATAATTTCTTCACATATGTACCATTCTTTTTCCGTTTCCCCCCCTTCTCTCTCTTAAATTCCAAAGTATTATGGAGTGTCAAACGACAGTCGCAGTTAACTAAAACTTTCAACCTACTATAGTAAGTGCTCAATCCAAAGATGGCCCTACACTGCTTCTATAGATCCAATCCAAAATGCCTTCACTTTCCAGTTCTTTTGCACAGATCGCACAACAGAAACGAAGTTACATGTATGCGTGAGAAAGCGAGGAGGATATATCCTCGACTTTGGAACCCTAATCACATCTGTCTTTTGCTTTTCTACATTAAATAATAAAATTGAGGTTGAAACCTCCTTTAATGTTTTGTTATCCCATCTACACACACAGTATTTTTATCTGAACAAAGCTATGCAAAACTAAGTCTTCTGTATGCATGTTTTGAATTATATTTAATCAAAGTAATATTAATAATACACTCTTTAACATATTTTTAATTATTAGATAAATTTATTAAAAATTATAAAAATATAAGACAAAACATTAAGTTAGGAGTGAGAAAAAAAAATACATAATTTTTGTAATTTTCAATAATTTTAGCCAATAATTAAAATGCATTAATAAATATAATAAAAAATGTGTTGGTATCCTTCTTATATAATTCCTCAGTTAACAAGGAGGAATGTCAAACTTAGTTACTCTAAAAGAGAAGGAAAATATTTGGTAGAAATTTCTATGCCTTAAGAGATATAGAAATAGAGGAGAGAGAAGTGAAAGATGATGTACTAACGTGTATGGTCTTTATTTTACATGAAAAAACGGCAAGAAATACCGTCCTGCCTATCCATCTAGTAGGAACATGCCAACATTTGGTACAAAAATTTAAAACCTCAAAAACCATGCATTTTTATTTCTAGTAGTTCTTGTGAACAATAAAGTGCATAAATTATAATAATAAAAAGGCTTAAAACGAAAACCCTAGCAGTGCTACGTACCCACAAATACATATTGATGATTGATCAACATGAGTCATACAATTATGTTATTGAAATCTAAGATAAGATAGCAGATTAATTAATTAGAGTAACGGAAACAACCTAAATAAAGTTTATAGTAGAAATTAGCACAGATAAATGTCTCTATCTATATATATATATATATATATGTATGTGCAGTTCACAGATATAATTGAGTCATTACTTGAAGGACATGTTGCTGTACTCTTGATTTGGCTCAGGAATTGGATTCCACTCCCACAGTCGGTCAGAGAAGGTGGTTGGAAGTGGATTTGGTAGCGAGTTGAGAGACATTGGTGATGGTTGCATCAGCAAACTGGAGAACTGATTGGGATGGCTTTGAACATTGTAGTACTGCTGTTGGTAACTCACAAGCCTATTCAGATCATCCATCACTGCATTGTTCGAATTAGAAGGGCCAGCAGAGAAGATGGTGGCAGCTTGCTTGGCTTGTTGTTGTTGCTGCTGCTGTTGCTGCTGCATCATCATCAACGCTTCCTCGTCCATTGGAACCACTGGTAGTCCCATTGTAGTGCTAAGTGCACCCATTGCAGCACGGTAAGCATTGTACTTGGAAAGTCCAAGAGTTGTGGTGACATCACTGCTTGCCTCCGTTTCGTTCATCTTGTCAACTATTTGTTCAGTTGGCTTCGATTGTCCCACAAATCCCATGTTGTGGTGAACCATTATTTCATTGTGCTTCTTATTGTCTGAATGTGATGCTCTTGATGAGGATGGCCGGGTCGGGAGACAACGAGGGAGGGAGGGATGATCCTCTACTCCAGCTCTCTTGTACACCCGGCAAAGCGATATCTCAGCCTTCAAATGGAAAACAATTCAACTTTGAGTATATATAGAGAGAGAGGGATCGAGAATTTGGCATTTGATGAAGAGATTTTGGTGAAAACAAATGGCTGAAAGAAATTGAATAAACTTCTAATACTATAAACGACCGTTGTCTTTATGTCATGAGAGACATGATATGAATTTATGGTCGATATAAGAATTTTAAATTCATGCATGTAGTCATAAATGTGTGCGAGAAAAGGATAAAGATAGTGAATTAATGACAAACGGTGCTGGTTGTTTTGAATTTCATCCAACTCTTTTATTTTAATCCCTCTTTTCTATCACGTATTAATTGTTCCCTCTCGGCTTCTCCCGCGTCTTGACTTTAGACTCCGTCTGGCTGCAAGTTTCACGCAGCTAGTATTTTGGTGTGCCATAGCTTTGAATCTAGCTAGCTATGATTTTGGTGTGCCATACCGAATATATAAAAGCCATCAAAAGAAAACGATCGAAAACTAAAAATTTCAAGGTGAATTACTCTAGGTTTAAGAGTAGCTAGGGTTGAATTTTAAAACCGAATATGCATCACGAAAGAAGAATGAGAACCAAGAACTGATTATTATATTACAAAGCGTGATAATCAAATATGTATGTATATAGTAGCGGCAGTAGTAGATATGTATGATGCATACATGGTACCTTTTGATATCGTTCAGTTTCATGTTGCGGCAAGCGATACTCGTTCATAATCCAACTGGTTCGGATACCTTTGGGAGCTTTCCCAGAATAGAAAACTAGGGTTTTCTTGAGGCCGATTGAGCGAAAGTTCTCTGTTCGGATCATCCTGTCAGCTCCCGTTGCCTTCCAATACCCAGAGGTAGTGACACGATTGGGACGATCACCGTTGCGATACTTTCTATCTCGGGGCACATAGAAGTACCATTCCTTCTCACCTATAGCTGCCAAGGCTGTTCATGAAACACGCATACATACTTCATATATATGCATCAAACCCCCTCAAAATTCAAGGTTATAACAACCATATGACCCGAAATAAATATGTATGTATATAAACATGGGACTTAAACTTGCACATGCCCATATATATGTGCGGGGATTATTATATAGACGTGCATATATGAAGCGAAGAAAAGTTAGCTAGCGAGGAAAAAGAATTAATATTGAATATAAAATTGAAGGGAGATGGCGGAAGAAAAGGGGAGTGGGTTTCCAGAATTGCTTCAAGAAAAGGGAAGTTGTGATATTATATATATACCAGGAAGCTCCCAAGGGTCATAGCGATAAAGATCAAGGAAAGTAATGAGTTCCACATTGAAACGCTTGCCCTCAACCTTACGGCGAAGGTAGAATTCAACGAGCTCTTCTTCAGTTGGGTGGAAGCGAAAGCCAGGCATGACCATGTCGTGCTCGTGATCGTCGGGTTTGTTGTCGTTGGTGGTGGAGGTGGTGGTGGTTGTGGCATCCTCTTGGCTCTGGCTTTGGCTCAGGCTCATGGTGGGTGATGAGTTTGCCGCTGCAATTGCCATTGACTCTTATATGTATATAACTAACAAGTAGTTAATCACAGGCAGGGGCTACAACTACTCTTTGGTTTGGCCTCACCTCTTTATACTCACAAAAGTAATATTTGTACGAATTTGGTGGTGCACTAGAGAGTTAGGCAAAGATAAGAGATTGATGGTTAACATGTACTAGTATGTGCAAATGACAAAATTGAATTAAGTTTTTATTTATTCATTTTTTAATTAAAAAAAATTCTCTTTCTCTTTCTCTCTCTAGAAAATGGGACAAATTTAATTTAGACTGAGAAAAGGAGAAGAGAGAAGAAACGAGGAGAGTTAATAGAAACATCTACATAGCTTTCAGGCCCTACATGGTAAGAGGGTATACGCTAAGGTGTTTTTAAGATGAGAAAATGACTTTTCAAAAAGAGGACAGGGTGGCTACAGCCCCAGAGCGGTGCCCTTGGACCTTTCTTCCACCACCTATATGCAAATTTTGCAATCAATTTTTCCCTATAAATATATATATATATATCTTCTTTTATATTTCTACCTTCACCAACGTATATTGTAAGTTTGTGTCACGAAACCATTTCTCACCTAAAACACTCGCCTCTGTTTTAACCTCAATCAAATATATTTTTTAAAAATGGAAACACTCGTGTGCTTTTCTCTCTCTTTTCTGTCCCTTTCCAAAGATTATGTTAGCTTTAGAACTGTTATTAACCAAAACCAACCTTTCATTCAATATAAATCAAAATCTTCGTCTTTCCATATATACATATCTAAGAATATTAATATTTTTTTCTTTGGGTCTGGGAAGAAGCTTTCAAATTATTAGGTTACTGCTTGGACTTTTATCTGTTCCATGCAAATGGTTGATTGTGTTGAAATGTTGGTTCGTTACTGCGTTATTATTATTTCCGTTTTCTTTCGTACATTAGCAGTTCACGTGCACCACATGAATCTTGTAAGTTTCATAAGTTATACGATGAAAATATCACAAAACCTTTGAGTTGGTCTCCGTATAATAATTAATTATGGAATTTAAAGCTAATTAATTAAAAGACATTATTTGTTTTCTAACATTTTCTCAATTGCAGGGAACAACTCACTTATTCATATATAAATGTATACAAAATACATATATCCCTCAATAAATTAAGCTTTAAAATTAAGAAATTGTTAGTTAGCATATAAATGAGAAATCAAATTAGACCCTTCAAACTTAAACTTGACAAATAAAAATGAGAGAGAGAGATTGATTTAAAATTTTAAACTTGATTTGTTTGAAATATGAAATTCAAATTTGATTCCTTAACTTATTTATAACTACATTTCTTCTCTTTTATCAGTTTTTCTCGAATTAAATTTATGCTTAGTAATTAAGTATTTAGCAACTATTTCTTTTTGCATATATAAAGAGAGAAGAAATTTATTTTATAAGTCTGTTTGTAGCAAAATTTAAAATAATATTAATTATTATTCTTACACTAGCATCTTTTCTGTTCATATAAAATATTAATTTATAGCGATTGAGTAAATCAATAGTCAAAATAAGACTAACTAATAAAATATAAATTAGTTTAATTAATATTATATTTAATAAATAATTAGACTATTTAATTATGTAATTTTTTTATTTCTTTAAATAAATAGAAACATAGGTAATATCATTTTATATTCATAAAGTTGAATTAAGACTAAAACAAATTTTTTTATTATAGAATATTTTGAAATCAGGTAATGGTCTCTTATTTTTAAATATAAATTTACATTGTTTTAATATATATTTAAGATCATACAATAAAATTTATATATAATAAATTTTAAAAAATATAAAATTTAACTCATCAATAATATTAAATATTATATTTTTAATAAAAAAATACTATCATTTATTATATCGTTAGACACACATAAAATAATATATATCAAAATATTTTAAATAATTTACAAACAATTCAATTCATTAACATTCTTAGTCGTGAATATTAAAATAAACGGTGTAATATTCAATAGGGATGTTCAAAAAATTAAGATCTCAGTATGAGGCACAATAATATTTACTTAATTATCAGCTGGCTACTTAAAAGAATTCTATTTTTGAATTTTGTTGTTAACTTTGAATCTAATGTAAATGATAATTAATTAACGTATTAATTTTATTAACATTAAAATTTAAGATTGATTTTAAGATACTAAAATAAAAATATAATAAATATCCTGTTTAATTCCTTTAAAAATAATTAACTTTGTAATTGCCCATAATTAGTCTTTAAAATTAATGTTAATAAAAAAATTAATTTATTAATTGAAGATTGAGCTAAATACTTGTGAAAATATTAGGGAATGAGTTGCTATTTTGTGAGATTATAGCAAACCCAAATAATTGAGAAAATGTGAAAGAACTGCCAATAGAAATATTATTGTCAAGGATAACACTAAGGAGAAATGTTCCATTCTTCAAATTAATATAATCCCTCTTATAGTTGTTTTTTATTTTGTAAATATGATTTTTTAAATTTCATATAAAATTAAATTAATATTTTTTAATTGATATTAATTTACAGGAAGTATTTTTCTTTCTTTAGTTGATGCTGAAATTTCTTCAAATAATATTATTTGTAACGAAATACTTCATAAATTATTAGTAAAACAATCTCTTAGCAATCTGATTTTTTAAAGAATTTCCAAATGCTTTTTTTAATATTTTAATTTTATTATTTACTATTGGTAAAATAATTTTTTATCAATTAAATCAAAATTTTATAAAATAATTTTTTTTATATTTTAGTTATATTTAACAATACATGTACAATGTGTTTATGATATACTTATTAGTTTAAAGTAATAAAATACAAAAAAGAAATTAGAAGGCATATTTTTCTAATTAGAAAAACAAATATTAATTAATGATTTTACCTCAATGTAAAGTTTAATAGAGTCTTATCTGACATAGATTAATAAGACCTTGGAAAAATACCATATATCTAATAATTAATATTTTTCTTGTCTTCAACATTTGTAACACATGCAGTTTTGATCCGTAAATAATTGGTAATCTTTGAGAATTTTGTAATTTTCATCGGCTAATTAATAGACATGAGAATGTCTCTTTATTTTCTAAGATATTTTTATACGAATCCGAATTCGAACAATTTTTTTTAAAATTATGTAATTAACAAGAATGGAATTTTAATATATAAAAACCTATCTGAACTAATCAACATAAACTTTAATTTCACCAATAATTATTCCCATACAGGTCTAAGTTTCTTGAGTTTATCACAATTGCAGCCAACAGACTTGAAGTATTATTATTTGCAAATTCTATCAAAATACGTATAATTTAGATTGAGGACCTGCATATAATCAGAGTCATACTCTTCTTCTTGGCTTATATATCAATTTATGATTCATAACAAAAAACACAGATAACCTCCTGTGAAATCGAAGCCATAATTTAAGCACTGAACATCTTTAATGCATACAGAATGCGTAGTACAGGACAATTGGTATTGATGGGAAAAAGTTGTAATGTAAGTTGGTAATATTTAATTTAATAGTAATTAGAAAATAATAATATTTACTATCTTTTTAAATTAGAATATTTGTAGAGTTATAAATAGACATATATTAAAAGTAAAAGGGGGGGGTTATAGAAGTATGTGCAAGCTAGCTGTGATAATAAAACAAATAGTAAGAAAAGGTTTGGTTGACAAATTGACATGGAATTTCTTGGTACAATGCATATTATAAGGGTTCGAGTGTGGTGGGGGATGAAGAAATTTGATGAGGTTAGCTGGTGGTCACCAATTAATTAAGATAGGTTAATGTACTTTCACTGTTAAAGAAGGATGAAAAATGGACCAAATCTAGAAGGCTTATATTGTTGTGAGGTTAATTACCATAAAAGTGAATTTGAAGCGTATCTATGCTTATGGGTGTATATATGATAACGTGATTTTCATTAATGGGATATATATATATAGGTAGCTAGGCAGCAATTAATCGCGGCAGTCCCTATGGAAAATTGTCATTTTCATGTTAGGTTTTGGTTTCTTCCTAAAATAAAAATGAAAGAAAGAAGTGTAATTCACATATATCTTAACAGATAGTGTGATTTAAATTGAGTCAAAGGAGGAATTGAATAATTGTGAGGGATGAAGCATGAAGCATGAAGCATGTAAGATCATAGATCGAAATGCAGTGGTGGGGAGAGGTGAGTGGGTCATCACTCATCACAGATCATAAGATCATAGTATGGACATTTCCATATTCATATTTATATTTTGGAAGAGTCAAGAGAAACCCGTGACCACTCTCCACTCTTGACAGCAACAACTCCCTTTCTTTTCTTTTTCTCTTTTTATCTCTTTCTTCAAATCATTTTCAACATCTCTTCACTCCTTATTCAATCTTTTTCTTTTTTTCTTTTTTCTTTTTTATTTCTAGACCTTCTTTTTCTCCTCTTCAACATTTGCTTGGTCAAACTCGAGTTTGTTTGCATTCTTTTCTCAAACTGCCATTCAGAAAATCATCAGAAACTTTTTGCATTTGTTAGAATGAATATTACATCTTGATCATCTTTCAGTCGCATCAATTTCATCACCGTGATCATCATCATACCCGATCGATCTATCTTAATTTCCACAGAAACCAATATCACTAAAAAAATATCAGATATTGAGCTCACTTTTATTAATATAAATTTTTCTAATATATTTATAGTAATAGTGTGATATATTCTATCAATATATTTTTTTGTTACGAAAGGTTATATTAACTGATACTCATTTTGTCATCATAATACAAATTTGGTTAGACTATTATGTGTGGCATTATTTTTCCGTTATATATTTTAACGATTATTAATTCTTGCACATTGAGGTGTTTTTACTGTCACTTGAATCGGTAGGGACTGATCCAAGTTTAGGTGTAGACGTACTTTGGCAATTTCTTGACGTGTAAAAGCCGAAGCGTGTCGTATTATGACGAGAAATAGGCGTCATCTTGCTGAGCCTCTTCACTACAAGAAATTTGAGGTTGAGTTGACACAGTACTGTCCACAATCTCTAAACCCCACCTCCCCCTTATCTCTCCATGGACACATGCTTAAATAATTTTAAATTTTTATTTTCAATAATAAAGTGATTGAATAATTTTCTATTATATTTAGTATAGAAATGCAAAAAGTATTTATGTGAGTGCATAAGAAGAGTATATATATTGTTTTAAAAAAAAGTGTGT